GACAAATGTTTGACGCCATTCAATGTTTCAAAAGCAAAGTTTATAAGCAAAGTTATCTAATAATTGGATATAAAAAAGTTAATTATTGTGACAATTGTTTCTGCTTCTCTTGAGTTTTCACTCATTTCCATGCAATGATAATGTTCACTCTTCTAATTATCTTAATTAATAAACTTTTTTCTCTTTTTTGTCCGTATTCTTTCATCTTCCTCTGCTGTCACCAAGAATTAACAAGGAAACATTTTAACCCAAAAATTCATCATAAAGCGAAACTCTCTTTTCATGAGCAAAATCTTTTAACCCCTCACCGAATCTCATGAATTTGCAAGACTTTTTCCATTTCAATATTCACCTCTTAAATTGAACCATTTTACAGTCATTATTGCTGAGAATTGCTGATAAAAAATTTGCAAACTTTTCATTTATTTGTTCAATGCAAATACAATTATCATGAAACTCTAGTCGAACCGATCACAATCCTTTTCTTGGTTTCACTTTTGCTTTTTTTCTGGAATCAATTTTTGTTCTCTTCTTGTTTCCAAGTTCATTTTACCATTTCATGATTTCATTCACATGAGAATTTGTTTTATCAAGAAAATGGGCACAAAAATAGAAAATTATTTTCTCCCTTATCGTAAGTAACGAACTGTTCATGTTAACATGGAAAACGATGGTTATTCCAATCATTACTTTCTGTTATCAATTGATCAATACAGGGAATGAAAGATGAATGATGGTTAAACAGGGAAGAGAGAAAAGTTGAGAATTATTTTCTCCTTTCATTGATTAGTTTGTATCGTTAAAAGTTTTTACCTTTTGATGTTTTCATTCGAGATTCAAAGCGAATCGAACACACGAACAAGCTCATAAAAGCATTACTCATGTGTATTTAATTTTCTCGTCTCTTTACTTGCTCTTAATCTTGTTTTCATTTTACGCATTTCCGTTGAATGAGCCATGAAAACAAAAGCGTCTATCAATCGACAAGAGAAAAGTTCATTTCTCAAATATCAGATTCTATTGCACAATAATGGATAATAGAATATCGGAAATTCGTTCATCTAAAGTATCATGATTATTGACATCAAAATTCTTTTGTTGATTAAAGAATTCATTATTCCATAGACATGAATATTGAACATTTAATGGAAAGGTTTGATTTTAAAGTTCGAAGCAAAAATTTCGTCTGAAAACTTTTCAAGTTTACTGCTTTTGGTTGGTCGTTTCAGTAAAACTAATTTTTATGATGATTCGAGTTGAAATTCTAGTGATAAAATATTCTAAAGATTGGATGCTGATTTGAGATTAAAATTGACGTTTTTCCAAATCATAATCTGTAAAGTTCTGCTATAAAAGTCACCAGATTTACTTTGATTCATGGAAGCGTTTAAAATGATAAAGAAGCTTTATTTTTTGTCATTTCTCAGGCAGATTTGAGTTTTGTAACCTTGAGCAAAGATTCAGCAGAGTTAAGTTCTTAACGCACAGAAAACATGAAACATTTGCTATCATTTAGATTCTTGGAATGCAGGATTATTATAGTTTATTTACAGATACTTTAACCTCTGGCTTTTTGGTTTCATCAATTTAATCGTTAACAAGCATTGCTTATTGTGTTTTCAGATGATTACTATCATGCATTTATAGTCAACTTAATGCTTATCCGATAATAATGAAGGGTTAATTCAATAAATGAAATTCTTGATATAAGAATATCTCATGTTAGTTCTTAATCGAGCAACCTAATACCTTAGCAACCAAAGAAAGTAAAGACTCGAGACTCGATTTCGACTGTTTTTCATACTATTCTATCTTTGGAGTCAAGATCATTCCACTTCTTGACCTCTCATTTGACATTCATTTGATGAAATCGCAATTTCTTTCTCATTGAATATTTTAGCTTGATTAATCCAGTCTAAAGGCACGATCATCTGGCCAATGAATGAAATTGTTGAATGTTGAGGTTGAAAGATTCATTGCTTTTGTTTTTCAAGTAATTCAAGTTTAATTAAAAAATGGATTAACTGGTTAAGATTAGACTCGAACAAATGGTTGCAATATTGGCAATGATTGACTGCAACTGAATCTTGTGAATGTTTTCGTTTAGAATTTGAATGTTTGAAAAAGAAATGGAAAGTTGCATGTAATCTGAGAGTTTTTCATTTCGAACTTATAATTCTGTTATACTTTGTATTGAAATTTCACCATCACATATAATGAGGTGAGAAGTGAAAAAGAAGAGAAAAATATCAAAGTTGTTTGCCATGAGAAGAAGAAGAAGTGTGACCTTTGGATTACTGGAAAAGGGCATTGATGAGCCTTGGTTCATCTCAAGTTTCATGATTTATGAAATTCTGTTTGCGTTGTTAAAAGTCACTCTTTTCGAGTTTTTTTTCACTTGTAATTTTTATTCTTCCATTTTTATGAAAACAGCCTTCTTCCATGACAGTAAAGACCATGTACATAAAAGGAGCAAAGTGACCGAAGTGACAAAAGATGAGCAAAAAATGGAAAAGAAAATGAAAAAGGGGAACAAAAAGTTCTTTACTCATATTTCAACTTCAGCCTCATTATTTCATTTTCCTGATCGTTTAAAGTCGATGAAAATTTGCTCAAAATTTCAATCAATTTCAAATCATCACATTTGACCCTTGCAATTCATGCAACTTCAACTTTTGCATGATGAATTAGGAACGAAATTCTGAAACAACTTAACCATTTTACTTGAAATAAAAGACATAAACAAATGGTTCCGGAATGAAGAGAAAAAAAAGTTGAAAGGAAACACTGAATATCCAGGCAAAAAGAGAAACTCAGTCAACATTGAAATGATTAAAATGCATTGAATATCAAAGTGATTTTACGAGAAAATTTTTTTCTCTTTTCAAGTTCCAACGAAAAACTCATTTCAACTTTTTTTCGAACAAAATTTCAAATTGAATTTCGATTGGCTAATCGATTCTGGATTTTGTTTCAATATTCTCAACTTGCTTCTGACTTCTGGCCACTTCTTTTGGTTAAACAATTTACTCGGACAATCGAATCAAAAGTTTCATTCTTTTAATCACATTCATCAATAGCCATGGTTTACACTTGTAAAGATTTTTCTCACTTTTCTTGTTCAATTCCATGTTCTGTAAGTCATCGCTTCAGTGAATACTTATAGAATTCAAATTCCTTTGAAAATTATTCAAAAGTAAAATTTTGTTTCCATGAAAAAGGTTTAAATGTGAATCTTTGCACTTGTAAACATCTTCATGGATTGGGATCGGTAATTACTGAATAAATAACTTTGTCTTGAAAAATATTGTTGGATAAAGTGTGATGGCACATTACGATGCATTAATTGCGAACAAAAGAAACTTAAAGTTTGTTTGTACTAAAGACTAGGTAATCTCAATGGGAACATAATATTAATAAAAGCACGCAATAATGAATAACTTTCAGTTTCTTTATGAGCAAAAGTAATCGATAAACAGTCGATACAAAAGGTAAGGCAACTTTTCATTCAATGACTTTTATTCTTATCCAGACATTAGAATTGATATGTTGCCAATAAAATAATCATTTTTGCACGAATATTTAATTTCTTTAATCTCAAGTGCAAACTTGATTCCATTGTTTGCTCATTTTAATGATTAAACGATTCAATTTCAATGTTGAAACGAACTTGAAATAGATCGAAAACAAATGACAAAGTTTATTGAGTTGACAGAATGTTGCTTCGAAAATGCTTCTGATGTAAAACTCGATTATCAAAGTATAATACTTTTTTTTCAACTCAACAACGAAAACAGAAAATTTTCGTCGCAACTTTTTTTCCATTTCTTGAATTTTTAAATTCCAACTTGGATTTAATCTGTTTCTCGATTGCAATGAATTTTGATGAAAGATGATGTTGTTTAACTGATTCTTGATTAGGAGTGAATTTGGAAAGTTTCCTGAACTGGAAGAGAAATGATTGGGAGGTGAAGAAAAGAATCGCAAGAATGACTGATAAACAAGAGGCAATGAAACGAGACCAGAAAAAAATAAAATTTAATCTCTAATTGTTGTTCCCTTTTATATTTAGACATTATTTTGTTGCCATTAGCAAATTTGTCTCTCCCAACAGTTTTGTTTTCAATGAATTTCAAATGAATTCTGTAGGATTTATCAGAATGTCTTGAGGAAGGTGAGAGACACAAAAAGCAAATCAGTGAAGATAAATAAATATCCAAGCCAAAGAGCACATTTGACTTTTAAAACGTTAATCTTGACGATCTTATTACCATTTCAATATGCTATGAATTCAAGTCTAAAAATAATCAATTCATGAAATAATGTTCTGTTGTGATTAGAAAGAGCAAAAAGAGAATTGAACAAAAAAATGAAATTCTGGATAAAGAGAGATGAAGGAAAAGTCGAAAACGAAAAAATCGTCTGCAAAAAATATTGACGATTCTCTTGAGGATATTTTGATTTCTTTCCTTAACATGATAATAATTTAACAAGTTTGGAATTAAAGTGACATTCGAAGGGAATCGAAGAAAAGAAAGTTTATTTTAATTTTGCAATTCCAATTGAATTGTCAGAAGCAAGTTGAACAACATATTGAATACACTTTTGGACAATAACTTTTGAAAGACAAGAGTTGAAGATGCTTTTAGAAACGGAAAGTGTTCAATGAAAATGACAATTTATCGATGATTTCTGAATCGATTTGAAACATTTTCTTCTTTCATCAGCTGATAATCAATTTCCAGTTTTGACAATGATTCTTCATTTAACAAAAAAAGGTTTGACATTTCAATTGAGCAACAAAGTTCTGTTTACATGACAAGGTTAAAGGAAAATACAAAAGAAAAGTTATTTCTTTGTTTGATGGACAGAAGAAGGAAAATTGTAATTTCACTATTTCTTTATTCATTGATGAAGCACCTTTTCAAGCTGAACATTGTAGCAACACTGGTTACCACAGATACCAATCACTGGTCAATCAATAATTAATCACAACTTACCTTGGAGTAAACAGAGGCAGAGGAAAGTTCATTTTCAATAACCATGATAATTATACCGAAAATCGCCATAACAAGAGCATAATCACTTATCCGTTTTCGCTTCTCAAAGAGAGCCTTTCGCCTGCCCAAACGGTAGCCAACATTGGGTCGATGGAAGCCAATCGGACCTCCACCACATGAGATGCTTGTACCAGCACCAGGTGCTGCACCATTGACACTGACACTGACACCGAAGCTGGAAGGTAAACCGGTTGATGGGTCAAGTCCATCGATTATACTGGCTCGTGATGGTTGACGAGGTTGCTGGTGATGGGCAAAGTGTTTCATAGTGGATGGAATGGAAAGGGTTGACGAAGTAATTGGCTTACGTAACTGACGGAAACCGCGAATTGCTCCGTTAATCCGAAGTGAACCGGCCGTGACTCCGGCAGTCTCGTAATCATCCATTCGATTAACTGGGAATGAGATAACATTATTATCAATTATTACTAGTGTTGCACTTCAAGTATTAATGATTATCTAATGGGAGACAGCGAAAGGTGCTTTAGGCGACTTTTAATTGAAAAACATTCTACTCATTTTGTTGGATAAATTCATTTAAATTCATTTTAAATGTTATTCTTCTAGTCAACTAATTGTTAAAAGTTAATCACAAAAATAAAGTTTCATTTGCCTAATCATTTATAATTGATGTAATTTCAATAATCAACTTTCTTTTTGTAAACCAAAAGAAAAGTTAATTTGCGAGAAAAAAAACGAGAAGAAAAAATGTCGAGTTACATCAACATGTTCACATTGAAATTGCTTCTGAGGAAATTCAGAGCTTTTCTTCTTGTTCTATTTCATTTCATCAACTTTTCTTTTCTCTTCTAGTTTCATTTCAAAGCCAAAGAAAACAGTTTACTATGGAAAGTCCAAACAGTCATGAGCGTAAACATTGCAAGTCAAGATTCAAACGCCATCTGAATACAAGGAAATGAATGTTTCCATTTTCATGGAACAACTGAGTTTCTAACCAACTCTGTCCTTTCATATTTAGATTACAATTTTCACTCAAAATCATGGAAATTCAAAAAATCATAGGAAAAATTCGATGCTTTTATCGAAAACTGTTCCCTAACATCGCATTCAGATTATCAAGTTATCAAAATGTAAAAGTTCATGTCTCCGTATTTCTCTTCATTACATATTATCCAGTCACTTGAAACTCTATGCAAAGTATATCTATTCAACCCTTCACTGACATTCATTGATTGCCTTCAAAAAACATCCTTAGAACGTGCTCAACATGATTGTCCAATTTCACAAGGAATAACAAATTAAAAATAAAATTCTGATGCAAAGTAACCTCATATTAAACATTACAAGATTAAGTTGCAGTCAATCATGGCCAATATTGCAACCATTTGTTCGAGTCTAATCCTAATCAGTTAATCCATTTTTTGATAAAACTTGAATTAAAAAGCAACTTTCTCTACTTCTTTCTTCAGATGACTAAAATTGATGAAATGAGTGAAGCCGAGTAGATTGCTTTGAAAGATGAGGTATTTGAATGCGAATCGAAAGAACCAGTTAAGCATTTGTTCGATACTGTTGTAGGCAAAAGCCAAGGAGGGCTGCGATTCGCCAAGAAAAAAGCGAGAAGCGGACTTCATTTTATAAACACAAGCTTTTCGCCTTTCAATTCACGCTGCTCGACGTAGCAAAGCAAAAAGAGATTGTTTGTCGCGCTGTAGACACGTCCTACCAAAAAGCGAAGCAGAAAGCTGCAATTAAATCGCTAAATCAAAACGAAAATAAACGACAAATAGTAAGTGAAATTGTGAATGTGTAATAAACTCCTCGTAACACAATATTTTATCTCTCTCACTTAGCCAAAGAATCTGATTGGGTTCCCAAATTATAGAGGACACTGTTATTTCATTCCAGTTTTTCTGCCATTATTCTGGAATGCAAATTTTGTTGATGCTTTGATCAAAGCGACAGAGATTGCATCAGCTTGCAAGTCTAAATTCAGAATTTTTTATTGTATTAAAGGATTATTTGAGGCATACAGAAAGGCTAGTATGGATGAAACTTTTCAGTCGTTAATGTTTCTGGTCCTAGTAAGGAACCTGGACCAAAACCTGATCTCAAAATAGATGAATTTGTTATCAAACATTTATTGCATCTTAGAACTGAAAAGACTATGCTACTCCAGGTATGTCCTTCATGAGTTGTTTCAAATATGATTTATTTTTTAACCTTTGCTTATATTTATTTTTGAGTCTAGGAGGAGAAAATATAACTTAAAGATAATTTAAAGATATTTCGAGAACGAAGACGATTTCCCAAATGAAATGAATATTGGACTTCCTGATAATTTGAATGTTTTTGGCCCAGCATACGAAAAGTATGCATATTCAGTGTTTTGGACATTCAAAGTTGGCCAATCTGATATTGATAGCCATTGCGACACAATCGTGCCCAATCTGGCGATAGATATTCTATCGGACACTGTGTTCTCATGATCAAACATGAAGGAAATTGGAAGTAAGTAAACAATGATAATATTTTCGAGCCATTAAGAGATTATCCTTACGGAAGGGAAGAAATGTTAATTTTCTACCGTAAAATCCAATAAAAATTCATTAAAACGATTTTCATTTTCATTTTTTATTTCTGTATTTCTTACCGCAGTCCATAAGTCCATTATCTACTCGAAAAATCATTAACTCAAAGAGTTCTTAAGATTACTTAAGATTACTTGAAAAACAAAAGCAACAGATTAAAAGCAGTTAAAATATTCAATGAGAAAGAAATTCTGATTTCATTAAATGACTGTCAAATGAGAGGTCAAGAATTGGAATGATCTTGACTCCAAAGATAGAATGATATGAAAAACAGTCGAAATCGAGTCTCGAGTCTTTACTTTCTTGGTTGCTAAGGCATTAGGTTGCTCGATTAAGGACTAACATGAGATATTCTTATATCAATTATTCCTATAACAAGATGGTCAACATCAAAAGTGTAGTGAAAACTCAAGTAAAAAGTGACGTGAATCCAAGTTCTTTTAATCCCATCTTTGAATCACCCTTTTGCATGGAGAGAATTTTAGCGAGAAAAGTTAAAAAGTCGCCGTCAGCACCAAGTTTACCGACTCTACCGACTCCGAGTTCACCACCAGCTAAACCAATGAAACCATCAAGTCTATCAATATCACCTGTTCATCAACATCACCATCCTTGGCTCAAGCCTTTTGCATTTACATCATTCTGTGAACCTCAAGCAATCAAATGTCAATTAAGAAAACACAAAAGCAACCGTAAGCCGAGAACACCGTTTACAACTCAACAATTATTAGCACTGGAGAGAAAGTTTCAGTCTAAACAGTATTTATCAATCGCCGAAAGAGCAGATTTTTCAACATCTTTAAACTTAACGGAAACTCAGGTTAAAATTTGGTTTCAAAATAGGTTAAAGAAAACAGGTTAAAAGATGTCGAAGTGGAAAAGTTCAATTTCACTCGAAGTGTGCCCTTTTCCACTTTTGGTTTACAATTTTATCCCGCGTTCCATCAACACCAATCTCCTACTCCAGCTCACATCGCTAAACCTATTTATCCAACGCAAGTGATTAGCCGATAAATTAACGTAATAACTATGTTAATAAATCAACCATTAACTTCTCATTGTTTTGTTACTTTACTCAGGTCTATTCCACCTGATCAGTATAATACAAAATAAACGAAAATCTCAAATGAATAAGAATTAGTTTGATCAATTCTTTGTAAAACCTTTGCGTCTCAGGTGATCAATGACTTGACGTTGTGTTAAATGCTGTTTAGTCCCAAAGCGCAAGCATTTAGACCTTTTTTGTTGATCTTTTTTTCAAAAGTAAAGAAACTTGGAAAAAGTTTAGCGAAAACAGAAAACAAAAGACAAAAGAAATATTATCTTAATAAATGTTAACTTATAATATGTTAAAGCATTTAATTTGACAATTGATATGATCAATGATCAATGTTGATCATCAACACCGTTTCCCATGAGTATAATCACCACAAAAAAGGCAAGAAATGAAACATTAATATTCTCAATGAGCCAAAACAGTTTTGTGATGATAAAGCGTTTTGTAAATAATCAGCTCACTAATGAAACTATTAATAATTAGAATATTAGACTACTACTGTAGGATATCACATTTTTAATGGACTCAGTTTTTATGTCCCTACAAACCTACAAAGTCCCAACTCTTAACTGTAAATCAGAGTTTTTATGCAAATTCCTGAATCAGTAACCTGAATTCTGATTAAGCTTTGACAGTTTTTCGGACTTGTAGTTCAACCATGGCTTTCAGGTTGCGTAAAAGTTTTCTTTGAAATCCTTTTAGTTTACCCACAATGTACGCAAAAATTGATGTTTTGACTGCATATACACTCCTGCCCATAAGTATAGATACACCAAAAATTCGTTAAAATTCAATAAAATTAGTAAATTGTGAACATATTTCTTGGCTTTTTTTTATTGGATTAAGTTAATCTGTGTGTGAGAGAGTTATTTTGAAGCTTTAGGAAATTGTTAAATTGAATGGAGCTCAAACTCATTATTAAATTGATTTTTCTGAACTGTATTTATAATTTTAGCGCGCGTACTTTTGAATATTTTATGATTATCTAATCAATAAGTAATCTTACCAGAAATTTGAACATATCATTTTTTTCCTTATCTTAGCCAGAATCGATTGCAATTTTCAGATTTTCCCTAACATTAATATTTCTTCTAATAAATGAAAAAAATAAGTGTATCTATAATTATGGGCAGGAGTGTATGTACATATTGCGTATTCAAATGTACAACAATGTTAAGTGTCATTTTGTCTTTCTTTTATTTTTTTTCTTTTTTACTGTATATTTTAGTCTCTTTATTATCTGCTTTTCCTGAATCTCAGGGTTGGGTTCTAAAAATTTGTATATTTTGTCGGTGACATTTAGGCCATAATCTTTCATTTGTGCTTAACAGAAAATTTATAGACTGTTTGAGTGCGGAGAAATTTTGACAGAAAAATACCAAAACGAGATAAGTATACATATAATGTATAAGATAATATTTAACATTTTTAGGTTTCTCTTCAATCCGACAGTCTTTTCATTGTGACAAAAGCTAGTGACTCGACTTTTTCAATTGTCTTCAATTGACTGTGTTATCACAATCAAAACGAAATGAAACAAGAAAAATGGAAAGCAGATTGAGGATTAAAAATGAGCTCAAATAAAGATTGTAAGTAACTTGATGGCTTGAAAAAAACTTTTGTCAAACAAAAATAGATCAAATAAACAATTTTAGTTGACCAAAAAAGCACCAGTAAAGATGATTGAAGATGAAGTAAGTTGAAGTTTGGAAATTTTCAATGTTGAAACAGAACACGAAAGGGATCGAACACATGAAAAGTTTAAAGTGAAGGGAAATACAAAAGAAAAGTTTTTTCATTGTTTGGTGGACAGAAGAAGGAACATTCAAGTTGAAAATTGTAGCAACACTGGTTAACATAGACGCCAATCACTGGTCAATCAATAATTAATCACAACTTACCTTGGAGTAAACAGAGGCAGAGGAAAGTTCATTTTCAATAACCATGATAGTTATACCGAAAAGTGCCAAAACAAGGGCATAATCACTTATCCGTTTTCGCTTCTCAAAGAGAGCCTTTCGCCTGCCCAAACGGTAGCCAACATTGGGTTGATGGAAGCCAATCGGACCTCCACCACATAAGATACTTGTACCAGCACCAGGCGCTGTATCATTGACACTGACACTGACACCGAAGTTCGAAGGCAAGTCCTGATCCAATGTAACATTTTTAGGTTTCTCTTCAATCAGAGAAAGTATTTTCATTGTGACAACAGTAGGTGAGTCGAGTTTTTCATTTGTTTTCAATTGACTGCATCACAAGCAAAATGAAATGAAACAAGAAAAAGCTGAAAGACAAAACAAGAGCAAATTGAAGATTAAAAATGAGCTCAAATGAAGATTGTAAGTAACTTGATTTGCTTGAAAAAAACTTTTGTCAAACAAAAATAGATCAAATAAACAATTTTAGTTGATCAAAAAAGCACCAGTAAAGATCGTTGAAGATTTTTGAAGTTTTGCAATTTTCAATCAACATTAAACTAGCGACACAAACCGCCATCTACAACTAAAGAGGTGCAACTAAAGAGTGGCTATTCAATGATGCTCTTTACCTCTTTCCCTTCATCCTCCTCAACTTGATCCTCATCTTTACCTACTCTCATCTCACTCTCTCACTCAGATAATGTGCGCTCACTTATTGGGAAGAATAATTTGTGTTCACTTTATTTCATGGTTAACTGTTGTTTACATCTTCTCATGATCTCTCCTCCTCATCACCATCTTCATCCTTCAACACAAACACCACCAATTGATTTGTCAATATTGTTCATGTTTCTTCACCAAGAATGATCCCTTTACATCACCATCATTTCCCCTTGAAACTAATCAGTGCCATTATCGTGTTTAACATGTTTCTTTCCTCTACAAATGGTCGCTTGATGCTATTCAAATCAGCCTCATCTTCACCAATAAAACACCGTAAACCACTCAAAGAGTCGCCAATCTATTTCATTACAACCCGCTTAGCGAAACCATCGTTAATCTCTTCAATTTCATCTTCCATTTCGTCCTCCTTTTCCTCATCCAAACCATCAACTTCACCACCTTTACCAAACTCAATGGATAATCAAAGTTTAAAGGTTCCTCCAAGGAAAACCTATTCACCTTCAATGGATAAAAGTTTACTCTCATCGGCCATTTACAAGTTACCATTAAAGTTCATCTCCAATGCAAAGCCAATCGACATAATTACAGGTAAAATTTTCGATTTTTTCTCTTTTTCTCTTTCTCTCAATTCCACCTGATTTTTTCATCAAATTCAAGGTTAATTGATCATCTATTTCAAGCGAGTTTCAATTTCAGTCGAAGAAAAAGTTTGTTGCAAACTAGTTCAATGTTGATGTTCAAGTTGACACATTTAATTGTTGATCCAAAATGAAAAATTTAATAAAAGACTCGAAAGTCAATCACATTAAATAGGAAAAGAAAGTGGCATTAATTGAAAGGCTATTGAACTCGATTACCTTGATTGATTTTTGAGTAAAAACATTTTCTAAATGTTGTTTTACCTTCAAATTGATTGCCTTATCATTTCATGTAATTAAATTATATTCAATCAAACAACAACAAAAGCTTGGAAAAAGTGTCTTTAATTTATCTGTATTTACGGTAATTGATTAACAACAAACACACGAAATGATAGTTTAAAGGGTTAACTTGGAAGAAGAAGAGAGAGAGAAAAAAAAGTGAATAAATTTTCGCTCAACCAGCTTCCATGATAATAACAAGATTACGCTGATTGTTGACGGATGTTGCCTTACTATTACTGTCAACAAGATAATTTGTCAGGATTGATTCCTGTTGATGGTCAAACCCTTTCCTCTCGTACGCTCAACTATGAGAAGCACGTAACTCTACATACACTCATCACCATCACCTTAGGCAAAGCTCAGAGTTGAAAAAAAGATTCAATCTTGAGATAGCATCTATTATGATGATTTAATGCTTTCCATGAAATCACTTTTTTTCTCAATTTTATTTTCCTTTTTTTCTGTGCGCTTCTTTAAAAACTAACAAATAACCCTTTGCATTTCAAGATAATTATCATCATTATCATCATGATCAGGACCTACTGATATTGCATGATAATTTATTTTTCATTACAAGTTTAACAAGACAGAAAATGATGAGAAGAATAAAAAAAGATAATCAATTTTATTCATTTTACTTTTTCTTTCATGAGAAAATTCATAGAAAAAAATGAATTTTCAGTGAATTTCCAAAATTATTTCCCAATCCAAAGGTTTTTTGCAAAAAAAGTTCATTCTGAGTTCGTAGCATGAAAAATTTATTCTGATTTTCGACCAAAAAATATTCGACAAAATAATGAAAATTTCACCTCAAGATTAGTTCAAAATAGAAGAAAATTAAACTCAAAGTTCTTCAAAAGCTTCGAGGTTTTCCGAAAATTCAGTATCGATAGAATTAGAAAACAAACGTTAATTTCATGTTCTTCAACCTTTAATTCTTCATTGAGTTTCCCAAAATTGTTTCAAAATCTGAAGGTTTTCAAAGAAAAGGTCATTTCAAGTTCAATGCAACAGTAAATTTACCGAAATATTCGACACAAAAAGGTTCAATTAGGGGAAATTCAATTGAAAAAGTTCATCTGAAACTCGGAAATTTTCGAAATTTCCATCAATAGAATTTACAAAAAAAGAAGAAAGAAACTAACAATAATTGCAAATGTTGAACTTTTTCAATGTTCATCAACCTTCACTGATTACCATGATAATTAGCCATTGTAACTGTGGTGATAATTAAATGATAATTGTAACAAGTTATCATTTCCATGTTAAACCTTTTCTCTATTGAATGGAAATTTGAGCGATTTTCTTGCGATAAAATTAGTTCCTTTCCAAGGCAATTGTAATTACAATGAAAATTGTTTGCACCAAAATTGCCAGATTCAATTAGGTTGTAATGAGTTGAAAATGATGGCGAGAATGAAAAAAAGGGTTGAAAATTGTAATTAACTTCTTTTCTATCCTCGGGTTATAATGATAATAATAATCAATTAAAATATATCCTTCAATATTCTGGGTGTGGGTTTATTTAATTTTCATAATTATCGTTATCAACATCATGTTTATTATTTGATTATTAGGGAATATTATTAAACCATAAGAACAACAATTTTCAAGATTCATCAATAAAACAACAGAATATCAATTTTCTTTCTTTTCTTTTATCAAATTAACATTAACTGAATTATTAAGAAAAAATATTCTCAACACTAAACTCTTTTTCTTCATGAACCGCTAGCTCATCTGGTGTTGACCTTTTTTCAGTATTCTTTGTTTATTGAGATTTGTTTGTTGTTTCATCGATCCTCGGAACTGCTTGGAACACAAACCCTGAAGCATTATTTTTCATGGTAAATTGAAACAATTGAATTGATCAGAGTTTACAAGTTTTTTCTTTTCTTTTTTGAACCATTTTATCTTCCAACCCTTGAACATATCAATTAGATCCTGATTTTTCATCGTTTCATGAAACGCTACTAAATTCATTTGAGAATTGCTCGGCAAATCTTTTTCTTCTTCTTGAAACTCATCTCAACAGTTTCAATAGCTTGTTGCCTTGAGCCAAATATGATTATCATTCTCATCATTCTGTTTATCCTGATCAACCGAATGCATCTGATGAAAGTTTCCGGCAGTTTCATTCAGTCTATCGCCATCATTCTTTCATTGAAATATATCATTTTCTTTTCTACTTTAATTACCCCATTCTGATTTGTTTACTAATATGTTCTTTTTTTGCTCTTCTTTTCTCTAAATATTCAGGTTTCACCAAACACGGGAACAATTTCATGGTCAAGAATAAGAAACAAAATCCCAAGAAACCGTCAAATGTGATTTATCTTCCAGTTAAATACCATTCAAATGGGAAACCAAGTAAAGTGATTATAAACAAGTTCACAAAGAATTTCCAAATGTGATGAATGCTGATCAACTATTCATGTTATTATATCAACAATTATTTATAAAACACTATTTTTCATTACCATTCTCATTTTGGAATTTTATAATTTTCTATTTAAGATTAAAATTTTCAATTTTTAGCTCAAATTTCATTCTCGATCATTTGTAAATGATGAAGACCGAAATATTATTACCGAAATAGCGAACTTAAAAACAAGACAATTTCAATGATAAGTCCGTTTCTTTGGCAACTTAGAAGCTTGAAGCTGCGATTGACTTTTATCCTAAATTCAGATTTCATTCGATGACCAAACTCAAGGTCAAACAAAATCCTAAAGTCTTACTTTTGAATGAAATGAATTTTGATTGGAAATTATTTCTTTCAATTCATTTACTTTGCCATTTCCTGAATATCTACTATTAGATCTTTGCCTTTCAAGCAGTCGAACTTTTCTTTGATTTAAATTATTTTATTACAAAAAAGAGTCAACATTTGTGTTTTTTGTTCGGAAATTTATCCGATTTCTCATTGATATTCACACCAATCTAATGATTATTTGGTTGAATGAAAGAGACAGAGAGAACACACAACTCGATTTACGATGAAAAAAAGGCGATCGCATCTGTTAACCTTCAAAGGTTGTTCGACTTTTGTGGACATTATTTATTTTTCCAATTAACCATTTTCTTGATTCTTGTTTATTCACGGATTCGGAAGAAGATATCTTCTCTCTGTTTCATGACAGTCATCCTTTGATTGACTAATCCATTCTTGAGCTCGAGACTGGGAAGGCATTAATTGGCTACAAGATAAACTTCGAGATACTCCAGCTCCTGAGTTGAATGCATGATGATCACCCTGAGAGAAGAAATAATAAAGTTGTAATTAAAAAAACAAACAAATGTTTCTCAGTCAAACTTACTCTATCATGAGATGGGTTAAGTTTTGCTATTGAAGAAGCTCTTGGACTTCGTTGAAGTAACCAACGATCTTTATAATATTTACGAACTTCAACAACTGGATATCTTTTGGACGGTTTAATTTCCATCATTCGCTTAAAACAACGTAACAACCTTGGTGTGAATCGACGAAATTCACGAGGAGTTCGAGTGGTTACACGCTTTTGCCAGTCAACAAACTCACTAAACCTAGGATCTGTAATATCTGCTCGTTCCCATGGAAATTTGGTTGTTAAACAGGCAAATATCAGCATCGCCAGTTGCCAAACATCAGAACCTAGTTCAACATTGTAACCTGTAAAAGGAAAGTAAACAGAAGAAAAAAGATGAAACTTGTATCAAGTTTATTGCGAAGTAATTATGACTTTCTTAGGCCATTAAGTAGCTCTTTTGATTTATATTCATGTTTACACAGTTTATCATTACCATTTTAATATCATGATCAACTTGATTCAACTGGCAATAAATATTAAACTGAGAAACAAGAAACTTTTCTTCTCTCATTATTTTGTCTTAAAAAGATTAACCTTTATTAATGAATGTAATATATTAATAACAGTAACTTGTTCAGAGTTTTCATGAACACTTGTTAGATGATAGATCATCATCATTATCATCATGTGAACAAGAAGAAAAGTTACTCGGTTTTTTGGTGAATCAGAGGCAACCTTTTTTATCTTGCTATATTGATCATGTTAATGTTTGAATAAATTATCTGAAAAAAAGGCGAAACAATTATCATAATGAAACTGTTTGAGTTACAGTTTGGCTTCAGTTTTTAATAAACAATAGCAGTTTAACAGGTAATCAATTTTCATATTAAAGTTGAATGTATTCGCATTCATCAAGTTGATGTTAATTAAAAGTGTTAAAACTGACAATCTAGATTAAGATCTGACCATTAAAATGGATTGCATTCATTTATGTTTCCAGTTTGGATTTTAAAAATAGAAGTTTAAATTTAATATTTGGTCAGAAAATTTTCATTTATCGGTCAAGTTTGGAAGCGAGTTTCTGCATTGTTATCATTATTCATTATTTATAAAATGTAAATAAAGTTGCTCCAAGGTTTGATATTTAACATGATAAAGAAACATATTAAAGTCAATTTCGATGGAAAGATTAACCAAGATTCAACAAAATGATCTTTAACCAAAAAGGTCTCGAGAAAGTATGGACAAACGAACTTAAATAAAAATGAAACATTTAAAGGTTTTCAGAGATTTTTCGATATTTGGTTCGATCGTAAAATCGATTGATCAAAACTTTGTTGCTTCGATTCGACCGCTAAATTATCGATCTTTCTTATTGAAATCACTTATTTACTTTCGATGCTCATGATTATTAATTTCAGAAGTGAGAGATTTATGAAAATTTGACTTTAATTTGTTCCTTTAAAATCGAAAAAAAATTCGAAAAGTCAGGAGTTAAATCGAGATTTGCTGATTCGATAAATGAATATATTTCTTTTGGTGTATTTCATCGAAAGTTGAACAATTGACTTTTGAAGTTAGAATAAAGATAATTGAATCTAAATCATGATTATTGGTTAATTAGAACACAAATCAGAACGAAGTTGGAAAAATTGGTTGCAATAGAGTTTTGAAAAAAAAGTAGAAATTGGTTTTTCGGGTTTCCAAGAGTCTACAACGATGGAAATCACTTGAATATTTGTGACCATTTTTTACCTTCTAAGTGGACAGCTTCCCATATTTCAGGTGGACAAGTTGGCAATGAACGAGTTCGCTTCTTAACCAGTGTTTCAGCTCGTCGGGTTAAACCAAAATCGGTTAATTTTACTTTGGTAAAGTCAACTGAAAAGATTAAAATATTTTCAGCTCGAACATCACGATGGACCAATTGTTTATCATGTAAAAACTCTAAGGCAGAACTAATCTGTTCAATTATTATCTTTGTATCGCGTTCCTCTAGTCCGGCTCCATTTGTACGTTCCACGGCCTGGAAAGTGGTACAAAGGGTGCAATACATGTTTGAGGGAGAAAAAGAATGATGATTAAAGTTAAATAGGATAACGATCAAGAATTAGCGTTTAAATAGCAATTTTGATTGGGGACATTCAAGTTGATGGCAAGAATCAAATTGAAATTGAAATATCTCGACTGTTGACATAAAAGATGATAAAGAAAAACTAATCATGGTTAACATTTGATTGAAATTAGATTTCACCTGTTAATCTTAACTTAATCACACTTCAAAAGAGGCTCATTATTTTTATCTAATTATATGTATCAGCGAAGAGGCAAGTTGAAACTTTGAGCCTCTTTGAGCGTGAAAATATTATAATCACTATAAAATGGTCCCTAGGCTACTGTTATTAGCAAATTTTTAAGTGATGCTCATTTCAAGCCGTTACAGTTTCCTAATTAAATTTCAACTTTGATTAAATGATGCTTTGATTGATTGCAACATGAATATGGGTGACATTTGGATCAACATTTTCAACTCAAGTTTAGAGAAGATTCATTTCAAGGTGAATTTAATACTAGCTTTGATCGAAAGCAAACGAGAAAAGGCCTAAAAGAAATGAAAATTCACTAAATTCAGAAAGATTTGGTTACAAAAACTTAGTCTAAAAAGATTGAGAAGAGACCGCAAATAGATGAGACTGAATGAGACGAGAAATGCATTAAATATTGTGTCATGTCAAGGATCATCAACTATTCAGAGATCGCCGAACCCTTTAGCTTCAGATTGTAGTCAGGGTTAACTTGTGTATCTAGATTGAGAAGAATCCATTTCTATCCATTCATTCATATTTCATGGCAAATTTTCCAGGTCTGCGACTAGATACTAGTAACCCACTGTTTCCGCTGCCAAGGACTTTGTCAGTCAGAAAACAGACCAATGCAGAAATACAGCAAATGCTCACACTTTACTTCTGATAGTCATGGCGTCAACGAATGTCCCAGCAAACCCGACGCTACACCAACCAAGGTCACCAATTGTAACCGCCATGATCTTCTACCTGGTTCCCGACAGATGAACACCAAACACTCAGCCCTACCCAGCAATTTTCCAGAACTTAGACGATACAAAGGGACGATTTTTAACTCCAACAACTATGGATTCTAGTTCCCATCACTCATCTGCAATAGCAGCACTGCCTGCTCTTTACATCTGTCATCACTGGCAGTTGACAGACAATGGGAGTTGTTGTTGTTGCAGGAACCACCATGCCGAAGAGGAATCGATTTCTATCGGTATTTCCAAGGTTAACCATTTTTGTCAAAATTTTCAAAGTTCACCTCTCTTCTTATATCATTAAATCTCAAGAAAATCAATAATATCAAGAAATCTATTTTGAACAAGTTCGATATCTACTGATTTACTACGTTCATCAAATTATGATTTTCCATTTTGTGCCGAAAAGCTACTCAAGTTAAAACTATTTGAAACACATTGGACTGGTCGTTTAGAGATGAGTCAAAATTATCGTTTGTTTTCCGATCTAAAAGATGTATTTGACTCTTTAGCTAGCCTTTATCGAGTTTAGTTCAATTATTTCAACTAACTTGGTCAACCCAGTCAATTAGTGTCAGTTAATGCAATCAGTCATTTGTCTAATTATTTTACACTTAATTGTATCGGAAAATGAATGAGAGATGAAACAATTATGATGAATTATTGCAACTATAAAGCAATTCTGAGCAAAGTTTACTCAAACAGACCAAATGATCATTACTTTAACTTAATAAACAATTTTCCAAGCAATCAGCTTGTCATCAAATTTCATCTGAATCATTGAGCCTGAAATTGCCCAAATTATGGGTAATTCATTTGATTACAATTGAACGTTAATCATGAAAAGAGTTAACTGGACAGTTGAACAGCAATCAATTTCAACGATTAATGATGATATCGATTGAGCCTCGGGTCAGCCTTTTTCGGCTACAATTCCTTCCATTTCAAATGCCTTTTCATATTCAATTAACTTAATAAATGTTATCAAGATTAATGATTAAATGGTTATGTTAGACTAGACACTGAACAAGACGAGAGTCTAACCCTTTTCAATTTTCATATTTCATTAGAAAAAATTGTTTCTCTTTTTATCACCATTCATCAATAATGAATTGGAATGAAATCAATTGAAGAAAAATGTTTACATTTAAAAAGGTAAAGGTTCAAGGTTGCTTTTTACCTGCCAAAGGTCACCAAAAGGGGCGACTTCTTGGGCAAAACAGAAATGTTCAGTTGTTTCAAAGGCAACATCATAAGTATCCAAAATAACAGGATGAGGAGAAAGGAAGTAACTATAATGGAACTCTATCAGAAAATCTCGTAAAGTTGTTGTCAATTTGGGCACAGCTTTAACGGCCACCTGAGGGAAGATGAAGCATGAAAAATGATGAGAAAATTATTATTAAAAGACAAGATTAGAAGAAACAAAAAAAGTTATTTTCATGAGAAAAATTGATAACGGAATGAAACGGTAAAAGAATAATGATCATTTTGTTGACTTTCATCTTATTGGCTTCACGGGATTTCACTGATTCAATTACGGAAAGGATTATAAGTTAATCTGGTTTCAGTTATCCATTAATAGTTTCATGTTTTCCATGAGCTTTAATAAGACGTTATTCATTACAATTAAATGTAATAAAGCTTTGACTTTCAATCAACGATGCCAATCATGTGCTAAGAGTCGGGTGATACAGTTCAACATTAAGTTTCAATTTTGTACAAAATGAAATTTTCATAAAATTCAAGCAATTTTAGACTTTTGAGTAAAATATTTCTTCAACGATTCATAGCGAAATTTTGCTATTGTACTCTTTGGATGTTGGAAAATATTTTGCAAGTTAGAGTTTATTGCGTTATTCATGGTCGCTTCAATTTACTGAATCACACCTTAGTTTGGACTAAACCTGAAAAACATGATTTAGTGTTTTTCATCTCGAAACACTCAGAGAATCAAGTGAGCTTCTTCAGTAATCTATTGATTTGAACCATGTAAGGTTCATTCGTTTAGAGATTGGCTTTAAAATTTAGGTTGAAACTAGGCAAAGAAAACTGTAAAGACTGTAAACCTTTTTTGAGTTCAATTTTTCTCACAAACACAATTTCTTTTCTCTTTCACCTTCTGTGAGAATCGGACATTTTCCCTTATCTCTTGACAATCTCGCGACAATTTTAATTTCGATTCCGGGTCAGTCATTTTCGATTATCTCTTCACTGTAGCAATGTGATAGACTGCTCTTTGTCGAAATAACTGGAAAGACTGTCATTCATCGAAGATACGGAAATTCAATTTAAACTGATTAAGTCTACTGAAATTGATCCTTGCTGTGCGGTGACAAAAATGCCTTCCACTTTCACCGATATTTCTTGATGTAAACATTTTTACATTTTTTACATTCACATCTTTAACGCTTGTTCATGATTAACAATTAATTCCAACTGGGTCAATATGTAAAATTGAATTTCGAGAGCTAACTTCATTTTCCAAAGATAGGAGCGTCACCGTGGAAAAATTTACACAACTGTAAATGTCAGTGTTAATACAAAGAAGGCGAACGAGAAATTTTACCAAAGAAATGAATTTATTATCCAAACACTGAATTTCTAGATCTGGAGCATTGACATTTTGCTCATTTCTATTGCAACGAAAATTCAAGATACTAATGTTAGTACTGAATCATCATGGTATAAATTAAGTTTTATGTAATATTGATTTATCATTCAAAGTTATGGCAATACAGTGAATACGATCGAAGTTTTTTTCGTCGAATCACGCGACAATGTTTTTCAAGTTAAAATGAATACTCGAAAGTCTATTCTTGTGACTATAAATTTTCATTTTTGACAGATTAAACCTTTTAAACTAATTAACTAATCAAAAAGTTGTTGATTAAGGGATGAACAAGAAACTAAAATTTAAAATAGAGACTAGTTGAAGACTCAACTTGCATTATTATGTAAATAAAAGACGGAAAATGTGATTATCAATTTGTTTTTCTTTTGATTGTTATTATACTTTACTGGGAGGATTAAATTTAATTGAAAACTGAGGACAAGTTTCAGATCGGAACTTAACCTTTCATCGTCTTGGAACAAGATTAAGATTGTTGAAACAGATAAGAGAATCAACAAGCTTGATTGGCTTAAAAGCCTTAAAGGTAAACTTGAAAAGCTATCAACAGTTATCCGTTTTGATGTACACAAGCATAAGCATTGAGAATAAACGGCGCAAGACTGCTCATTGATCAACTGAATAGCTAACAATGAAAGGTTAAAGCGATTAAATGACTGCATAATTGGCCACCTACAGGTTAATTTTGCTGACCATTAGCTTTATGGTGAATATTTGAGATTCATAAACTAGACTGTATTATGAAGTGGACCAGTTTTGTGAGATTTTTTAGACAAAAAAATTCGAGTAAACTGTAATGGACCCAACTAATTTCAAGGACGAAGTATGGCCAAAATTTAAGTCAGTTTTTGGAACAGCGAAGTTTGTGTTTGCCCTTTTTTTAAACAGAAACTTCTACTCGTGAGCAAAGAAGAAGTTAAATTTAACTTAAACTTTAAACTTTAAATTAAACTTTCATGACAATAACTCGTCTAATTTATAGCCATCCTTCAATGCAGGAAAAGTTCAAGCTTGACGAATCCAAGAATGTCAAGTAGATAGTAAAATCGAACCTAGAATATCAAGAAAAGTGCTTAACTTTAGATTATTAATTTGCTCAGCTTATCTTGTAATAGATAAAGTCGACGAAAAATTCTTTAGTTGAAGTTTGAAGACGCTCATCGTTTTGCATCATTTCAAATTTAGAACACTAAAAATTCGATCAAAAGTCATTGAGTTGAACCAAAGTTTAAAGTATTTCCACATATTTTTGTAAACATAAAAATAGTTAAACTTCACATTTTATCTCAATTTTTAAGTTTATTCTTGCACAGTGTTGAAAAGAAAACTTGAAAGGTCGAAGAAGCGATTTTATCAAAATTAGTTTTACTTTTTAGAACATTTTGTAGGCAATTGGAATGGAAAATGAAGAGAAAGGTTTGACTCAAAGCATGGAATTGGCGCGTTGATCGACAACAAACATGAGCATTTTGGCGTTCGTTTTGTTATTGATTAAAGTCAACCCTAAAGTTTTTGTTTTTAACATTTCCATTATCAATGAATAGAAAAATTCTAATGAAGTTCTAATAGCACCATGTACTTACTTGTGTACCTGTTCGCTTATGAATCGCTAAAACGACTTTACCATAATCGCCTGAACCAATTTCTTTGACCACATCGTAATGGTCTTCAATCACAATACGTTCCAATTCAATTTCACGAATTTTATGAATTAAACTTTCCTTTTGTTTAATCGTATTGGTTGACATTGTGAGATGAAAACGAGAAAACAAATTGCTAAAGTAAATGAACAATCAGTAAATCCAGCTAAATGGTGGAAACACAAGACAAAACTTGAAAAGGCAAAGGTAAAAGTTTTGTCTTAAAAGGCTGTTTAAGCAGTAAACAAGTCGAATCGTTTAAAAGAAATTAAATTGGCTTCCATTTTGACATTTATTGGACGATCACAATTTGATCTTGATGGCAAAGGGTACAAACTGAACGGAAAGACGACATGGCAAGAGCGTTGCAACAGCAGCAAAAAATCAATATCCTTTGATTGACCTTTAAACACTAGTTTGTCCTTGTAGAGATGAAGTTGCGAGTTGAGTGTGAAAACAAAACTTGAATGTCAACTGAAGAGAGGAAATGAAAGTAGCCATATTGGGATCATAATCATAGTGCACAGTTAATCAATTAATGGTTTTTAATGAAACTAGTTAACGACTGTTGATGGAAAAACAAAACAAATGAGAAAAGACGAAATGGACTAAAATAGATGAAACAATCAATCAAATTAACTGTAATGAGGAAAGGGCTCAACTCGATTTATTGATAATGTTCATGATAGTGATGATAATGATGGTGATAATGTGAAGAGAGAGAGGGAAGAGAAAGGTGAAGTAAATTAAGGTGGATAAAAGAGTAAATGTACAATAATAATTGGAACAGGCAAAGACATTTTCAGATGAAGATGAGAGGGAAGATGAAGAGGCAAAGGAAGTAAAGATGATGATGAATAATGATTGAAGAAGAAGAAGAAGAAGAAAGTGAAAAGTTTTTCGTTTTCTTGGATCATCCTCAATTAACCTCAAGATCACTTTTCTCTCTCTCTTCTGTTCCCTTCTTTACTCTCAACATTGATCAGACTCTCGACATTAAACTCGAACTTTTTACTTTATTTTAAGTAACAAGTAACATCACGTGAGTCCCTTCTTCATTCGTTACTTTTTTTTCAAGTGATGTGTCTTTATTCAGTCCAATTACATGGAGCAATGTTATATTTAAAAGTTACTCCAATAGTTTAACCTTATGCTTTTTACGAGTAAAAATGAACATTTTATTCAATGGCAAGAGGAAAGGATGAATCGTCAGTTCAACTTTAACTTTCAACATTAATTTATTTTTTAAAAAATTAACTTTATCTCATATTACAATGTGCATTTGGGCAGGAAAAGTATAGTGACAAAAACAGGCAACGAAACGACTAGATGATTAGGAATGGCATTTGGAATCAACAGTGAAATTTAATGTTAACGCAAAAGTAATCGAGTCTCTTGATTGCGTTTCAACTTTTAGTTGATATTTTAGGTCGTTTAGGACGTTTGCTTGATTCGTTAGTTTCATCGAGTTGGTTAAGGTTTGCAGGAGAAATGACAATTCCTTGGGAATCTCGGGGAAAGGTTCGATCAAGAGTCGATGAAATTCGTGATCGAAATTGTTTCATTAAGGGTTTCGCAGTGGCTGATGAATATGAAGGCGGCGGTGAATATTTTGGCGGTGGATCGGGAGATAGGCCAGATTCGGTGAGATAATGAGGATGATGATGGTGATGATGGTGATGGTGGTGACGGTGATGTGGATGAGGATGATGGCCGTGCATAGAGGCTGGCAGTCGATATGGTTGACCCGAAGGATCGAGGAAAAAGGACGGAATGTCGGGTTCGTAAATGGTAATTTCGGGTGCGAAAAGGTCCTTCAACCTCACAGACAAGGGTAAAGATCGAGAAGTACAAAGTGACATAAAAAATAGCGTCAACCCATAAATACTGACAATGTAGAGTGGCGCCAGTTGCAAAATGTTCCAGACGATAGCGACCTTAAAAGACCAAAATGGATACATGAAACTGATGTTGAACCAAGACAGTTCAAATCCAAGGTAAGAGCGAGTAAATAGTATCGACAGAATCTGAAAGAAAAAGAAAAGAAAAATATTAGCAAAAATTTTTCCATCAAAATCAAAACTCGACTCTGTTTATCAGTAAAGGTCTTTTCGATGTTTATTTTTGCCTTTCTCAACCTTCGCACTTGATCTTTACTAAGCATTTTCATTGTAACCTGAAACGTCAAGTGCTAAAGTCTTTTGAGAAACTTAGATGAGCAACAAAATGAAAAGAATCATTTTTGGAGCATTTTTTACTTTTTGTTTTTTTTCGCTCAAAGATTCAATAGGAAAAGCTCATCAGGTTTGGAGAGTTTCCAACAATCAGAATTCATAAAAGAAGATATCATTTACCCTCTTTTTTTATTCACCAACATGATGTTCATCACTTGAATCAACACTTGTAAAGGCAAAGAGCAAAACGGGAAACTCGAAAGTAAATGTTGAACGAGAGAAACGAGCAAAACGTAAAAACTTCGCAAAAAATTCATCGAAACGTTGCAAAGGCAGTAAAAGCGTTTTCAGTCGCAATTGACTTCAAATGAAGCGATCAAGAATATTAATCTACATTTTGTTGGACAAAAAAGTCGAGATTTGCCGTGTGAGTTGAAAGACGATGATGAAGCAAAGTTGAAATTGGCTTCAATCCAAATCACAATTGTTTTGTCATTTCTTATTCTCATCATTTTCTCATCTTAAATTGCTCTTCAATGTAATTGGAATGCTTCCCATTAATCCGATTAAAAGTTTACTTATTTAAATGCGTTATTTATGCCATTTATCTACTTTCCTGAGTCCTTTTTATCCACATCATGCTCATCACCAACGACATCATTTTCATCATTCTCCACTTTTATTACACAAAATTTTCCTTCCTCTTCATGGATCAAATATAGCATCAACTCTCTCTCAATATATTTTATAGCAAAACTGATTCAATTGAATTGATCAAAAAGAAAGTGGAATTTGAATGAAAAAATTTCAACCTTTTCTCATTCATCTGCAAGACACCAAAAGGAACCACAAAGTTAACCTGCTTATATCGAGCTAATTTTACCAGAATCGTCTGGTTGCTATGGCGATCAATTGGAATGAAAAAAATTTGATTCTTCTTTTGAAACTTTTCTCAAAATTTGCAAATGGAAATTCAATCAACAGGTAAGATATCATTCAGGATGGGGCAAGGAAGAGAAAAGGAAGAAATTGAATTATCTTTTTTTCTCTTCTGGTCTCGAGTTTGATTAATACTCTTCAAATAATTGATAATATTGAGTTGTGAAAGTTGATAACCATAATTAATAATCCTTTTTGAAAAATGAATGGAAAAAGATTTACATTTCTTCAGGTAAAGAGTTTCAATATCATTGTGATTGCCTTAATTTAGACATTTATTGACAGTTTTACCTTTTCTTAAGCCGTCAAAGTTTCCATTCAAGTTTGCTTCAATTTTTACAATATTCATTAAAATATCTCTCTTAATCAAATCCATCAACGGCCAGTTTAATCGGATAAGTTAGTTGGCCTCAAGAAAAGGTAAGATTCAAAGGAGAAGCCAAAAATTGTGTCAAGATTGGTAATAAATTATCATCAACATCAACTCGTCAAGAAAACATAAAATTAAAACTAAATTCACCATGACCTGAAAAAATGATTACTGTTCATTATTCAAGAGCAGTTGAAGTGAATAAAAATTAACAAAATTAATGCCTTTTCTATTTTCTTGCTGTGTTCACCTTAATAACCTTCTTCACCTGTTTCCCTGTTTTCATTGTCGATTCATTGATTCATTGAAGTAAAGATGATTAAGGAAGACAAGTTATTAATTAGAGAGAGAAAAACAAATCAACATTTGACTCATTTTCAGTTGTCTGCCAATATTTGATTTACCAGTAAAGTAACTGAAACTATTCAGATAGAATTAGAAATTTTGATCAATAAGAGGAAATTTAATTTCATTATTGTTGGGTCGATCTTAATTTAATATTAAATTTTCAAGTTTGATGAACGATTGAATTTGGTTTACTTTGGATGATAGTTTACTTTCTATGTCGATAGAGGGAGATACAAGTCAACTATTTGTGTTACGTGAAATGATTGCTGACATCTAACGACTAAATGTAGAGTTATAAATACATCTAACGACTAAATGTAGAGTTATAAATAAATCAAATCAATTTTAATTGTTTCCTTTTTTTGTTTCAAGTCATTCTTGACTCACAGTGATAATGTGAAACGAAATGTTATTCATGGAGTCATTGATGCAAGTAAATGAAACTTCTAACAATAAAAAGGCGAAATAATCTTTAGAATAAAAATTGAACTTCGATTTTACCTAGAAGTCTCGAGTGAATTGAAGTTTAAAGATGAAGCATTTAAAGACCGAAACTAGTCCGAAATTAGATCGAAATGTGTTGAGAGGTTCGAATATGGAAAAAGAAATTTTGGGTTTTTTGATTTCAGCGTTTTTTATTCACTGACAGGCTTGAGTGATGATCTAATATCTTCGATTAGATTCGACCTTCTTTTGAAAATCCTATCATTCGAAACAACAATTTTTTTGTTCATTCCTCACGATTTGAAATTTTTGCCATCAGTTGACAACTTGACTAACGAAACCTTTGTTTTTGTGAATTGCGACAAACAATTGAAAAGTGTAAATATTTTGTCGATTGCGTCTTTTACATGATCGACTTTTGATGTTTGATTGAGCACAAATGCTGACAAAGGTGACAATATTGAATGAAATGTGTGCAAACTGCTGAATCACTAACAGGGAAAACATGATGCTATCCAATGTCATAATAATGTAAACCTTTTAATAAACAATAAAAGCTATAATTAAATGGCGATAATGTTGATATAATTATTCGTTGTCCTTTCATTTTTTCTCTTTCTTTTCTTTCTCTTCTTTTTACTTCACACCAAGGGAATGACCATAACTTTTCATTCCATTTTCTCGTTCATTGTTGAATAAACGGTAAACAGTGAGAAACCTTGATAACCAATAAAACCTTGAAGGCAACATTTGATATTGTCATCAATTGTGTCCACAGAAACGGAAAAGAGTTAAATGAACATTTCATTTCAATTCCTATGTGACACAATAAGCGTCAACAACCTTGCTCAAGACAAGATTAGCGCATTGTTTTAATTGGTGCGAAAAGGTTACTCTGTTTAACCTTAACCTTGATGTTGATAAAAGGCATAAAGAAGTGAATAAAGTCTAATCAAGAAAAAGGTTGATTAAGATATTCTTTTCATTCTTGATCAATTAAAATATTTATCGATGAAAACAACTAGAGTCAATTGTTTCAATTTTTACTGACTTTTCATTTCGAATCCAATTTCCTCTTTTCCTGATTATTTTCAGGTTGACTGATATTTATGAATTTATGCATTTCTATTGTTTTTCAATGCAATAATTAGTCGAGTCGAGGGTTTCAGTCAACTTACCGTGAGAATTGCTGTAACCACTAAGCTCCAATGGAAGGTTAATATCGGTGTTAACCATGAAATTATCTTTTGATCCTTGGTCAAGTTGGAGACTAGATCATGAGGTGTACAGGGCTTACCTCGAACCACGAAAATAACCGAAACCATGAGCATGTAGAGACAGGCGATCCAACAAATGGATGCAAAACACGAATCTAAAAAGTATATTATATGATCATTGATCTACAAATCGCCAAGAAGGACGTCAAAATTTACGAAAAAATAGAAAATAAAGAAAATAAAAATAAAAATAAATGAAAAAAATAATGAAACAAAAGATAAATAATGAACTGAAAAATCGAACAAAAATTTTAAAGAATTGACAGAATCATAAGCAATTCAGAATGAAATATGAAACTTCATTAGATTGATTCCAACCCTTGACTTGAATCGAGTATTCCGAATTTTCAGCTTCTTTTTCACCATTTCATCTGATCTCATCTTGAAAAGTAACCTCCAATCATGGCCAGTGATAATCACTTTCGACTCACGAATATTGACTTTATCGTTAGCAGAACAGAAGAAAGTGAAAATCGTTTAAATCGCTTTTTCATGCAATTTTTTCACTTTTTTTGTTCGTCTCAAGGTTTTCAAGAAAAGTTCTGACTTGAATCGAACTTATAATTTGATTGAAATATTTTTTTCTCAATTCACTAAAATTCTTTGCTCAATTGGATTATCAAACAATTTTTGTTCAACTGCAAGTTATGCATTTGAATGCTTACCCATGAATTGATGGCAACTGAAACTGAAAAGCCAATGAGTGAAGTTATAAATGCAATTGTAGTCTTTGATTGACGCAATGAATCGGGTGAAATTGAAATGATTGCTTCAATCAAAGTTCCCCAAAGAACAAGGTGACTGCCAAATGATATGAGAATACCTGAAAGGTAAAAGGAAGTCGCCCAAAAGGAAGAAATTACTCGAGAACCTTTCAAGGCCAAAGCTAAAGGCATGATTTCAGTGGCCCAACGCAAAACTTGATATTGACTTAGGTACGTCTTCGACTCGGAAGAAAATAAATTTTCGCCCAAAAATAGATTAACGCCCGATTCAAGGGTAACACTCGGCCGATATGTAGTTCCAGGTGAATCTCGAACAAAATTGACGGTTCCATACTTTTCTGTTAACGAAAAGAGCAAAGAAAGAAACGTTAGAAATTTCATGAATAATTTTCTCAGTTTACTTGTAGCTTCACTTTTGTATTCAATTGTTTGGTTTATGCTTTGCAATGTTCATTCAATGATGAAAATGGCGATGATTTGATGAAAAAAATGCTTTCATTCACACCTTTTCAACATGTTTTATCCTTTTGAATTGAAATCAATTTGAAAAACTTTTCATTTGTAATGAACTTTTAATGAAACCAAACACTTAGTTGGTTTTCACTTCATTGTTATATTGTGTGTTAAATACTTGTTTATCAAACCAATTTAGTTCTTTAATTGTTATCTTCTTACAAAAGATAGTTAGCTTGAGTGATCATAAAAATGGTTAGTTAGAGGTAACAATTAGTCTATTTTTAAATTGAAAAGTTAACTCTTTTCATGGCGAAATGTTGCTTTTATTAGCAGAAAATTTTTTAAATTAAATAACAATGATTGAAATATTTTCAGCAAAACACAAAATTAACCACGTTTGCTGGAAAATTGGACAATTTGTTATACAATTACTTCAGATCAAACTCATTTCAACAATTTTCTTTATCATTTTCTATTCTATTCCATATCGCAACTGAAAGCATGAAAAGTCAAAGTTGAAAGCGCATTTAATCCTTTAAGTTGCACGTACAGGTATAAGTGTCTCTTGTTTGCAATGCGTATACATTTGTTAAGTTAAATGCGCAGTTCTTTAATGTAATCATAATTGTTTTAATTATGCTTAATTTTAGTCCATCTAATTGAGCCGTTTGTTTATATTGGACCAAAACACTAATAAAGTTAATCTGTTAAACCGTCGCTACTACCGATTGAATGATTTAGTGAAGACTAGTCAATCAGACCACTTGGAAACTAGTGGTTGGATTGTGCTGAAAAGATGTTCAAACTTGATCATTCAGAGAAAGTAAAATTCGTAACAAGGTTCCGTAGGTGAACCTGTGGGAGAGTCAGTGACGTTGTCATGTTTGAAGTTGCTGACTTTTTTGAGTTTGTTTATTTCAAACATCCCGAGGAAGATACATGAGCCTTACAAACCCATGCACACTGAATGGTGATTAAACACTCATCTGTTCAACTGTATATGTTATCGAATTGAGTTCTGAAGAGTCTCTAAAAAGTAACCTTTGGCATATGATTTAGAAACTTGTAACTCGTAAAATGTAAAAAGTGTCAGATATTGTAAATGAATATTTTTTGTATTGCAAAATTACAAATTGATTAAACTACAAATGATGGTTTACTTTCATTGTGCATTAATCTTTAATCTAATCATAATTGTTTTAATTGTACTTGATATTAGCCTTGAGCCAATGGATTCATTTATATTTAGCACAAAATTAGCCAGTTGGCAATAAAATGATTAACACTAGAAGTGGTTTGTGTTAATCACGATTTAAAATGATGTCTTTGAGAGGGTAAATTGGATAACCAAGATTGAGCTTCTTCTGTTTCAATGTCAATGTATCGAGAACCTTAAACATTGTCATTTGTTATTGTATTGTCAGTATTTTAGTGCTTCATCCAAGTGTGTAGCCGATGCATAATAATGGAGCAGCCACAGTTAATAACGAAGCCATGTCGATACGAGCAAGCCTCGTCCTTGTCTAAGATATTTTTCTGGTGAGTACTCAACTTCGTAAATGTAAATGTCTATTTTGAATGTCGCTGTCAAATGGATATTACCAATTCCATAGTGTTAATGAGAAGCGAAAGTGTGGCGGCAAGACTAAACTCAGACCGAAATAGATTTGTAACAATTTTCAATGAAACCTTTTGTTTCAGGTGGTGTGTTGCTACATTGAAAATAGGATTGAATCGTGAACCAACCAAAGATGATTTGTACAAATGTCCAGCTTATGATGAAGCATTCAAGGCTACAGTTCAATTTGAAAGGTAAATTGATGCCATTCATTGAGATTCTTTGAAATGTTATTGATTTTCATTTATTTTCAAACAGAAACTGGGATCGAGAAATTAAAGACGGAAAGTTGAATAGCAAAAAGCCAAGCTTGTTGAGAGCGATCGTCAAAACTTATGGAATAGAAACAGTTTTATTCGGAATGTTACTTACTATCGATGCAAGTTTATGATTAAATAGAAAGTTTCTGCAGATTACTTCATGACTCACTTCAACTCAGAATTAATCAATTCTCCAATTTTAACCATTCTTTCATGCATTCAATTCAATTGTGCAGGAAATATTCAACTTTACATCAATCTTTCTTCTTGGATTCATAGTTCGTTACTTCTCTGACAATAACTACAGCAATGTTACTTGGAATCAATGCTTGATCTGTTCAATTGCTCTGGTATTTACTCTATTCTGCTTTGGACTGATTCGCCATCATGTCTTCATGTTTACTCAAAGACAAGGAATAAGAGTTAGAACTGCATTGACAACTGTAGTTTATAAAAAGGTATTCGAGATGCACTTCGAACAACTTGAACCTAATTCTCTCTTCTACAGATACTAACATTGAGCAAAGCAGCAACAACCAAAACTGATGTTGGATACATTCTTAATATAGTGACGAATGATTTGTCTAGATTCGATGAGGTGAATTTGTTAATTTGCAATCGAATTCGAAATTAATTTTTGGAATCTTTTGTCACAGCTTATGTTCAGCATCAACTACATCATTTTGGGTCCATTGATGGGAGTAGTTGCACTCATTTACATGATATATATTTTGGGACTCGCGAGTCTCGGTTTAGTCATTGTCTTGATTCTTCTCATTCCTTATCAGGCAATCACAGCTAAATATTCAGACAAGTTTAGGTAATTTTGTCTGATGAAAGAATCTCAAATTGGAGAAACGAAAGAAATAATTGATGATAATTTGATGAACTTTCTCAATTCAGAGCTCAAACAGCGAAGTTGACTGATAAAAGAATAAAGTTGATGGAAGAAATGATTTCAGCAATTAGGATAATCAAAATGTTCACTTGGGAAAAGTCATTTGCAGACTTCATTTCAGAGGTACGAAGGTGAGTTATTTATCCGAAGAATATGCAATTTCTTGAAATTCTTAATTTTTCTTCCATTCAATTCAATTCTTCAATTACAGAAAAGAGATGATTAAAATTCGAAATGCGGCGATATTGAAATTGATGAACATTTCTGTTTATGCATCAGCATCGAGGATAATGGTTTTCGCATGTTTATTATTCCATGTCCTTTTGGGTCGACCTTTGACTCCTGAATTGGCTTTTATCACACTCTCTCTGTGTAATGCTTTGAAAGTTCCCGTTACTTTCCACAGCAGTAATGCAATGGGACTTCTATTTGAGACTTTGGTCTCTGTCCGAAGAACTCAGGTACAGAATGGAATGAAACAACTCTTAATTTTTTGATAGTGACTTAACAGATTCTGTATTCTTACGGCTTAATCAAAAAATGATATACAGGAACTATTACTGCTTGAAACTCGTAAAACAAAAGCTCTAACCAGAAGTGAAAATGAAAGTTTGGCTAAAGGCTTAATATTCGTTGACAGATTCAGTGCTAAGTGGGAAAAGGTTTGTATCTAGTTGATGGTGGAGAACCATCATTCAAGATGATTTTGATATTGTAGTAAATTAATGCAAGTTTTTCTTTTTTTGTTAGAACTCAAAGATAACGCCTTTGAAAGACGTTTCATTCAAATTAGAGCCTGGAGAATTATTGATCGTCATAGGAACTGTTGGCTCGGGAAAAGTAAGACATTCCAATATTGAATGAAGAATCTCTTTTGAAAGTAGATTAGATGAAATCGAATATGCAACGCAAATGCGAAAATTTACATATTATTTATACTACAGACTTGTTTAGTTATGTCTCTTCTCGAGGAGATTGCTGTAGTTTCTGGTTCCTGCAAAGTCGTCGGAAGAAAAGCGTATTCCCCTCAAGAATCGTGGACATTTGCTGGAACAATAAGACAAAATATTCTCTTTGGAAGAGAATATTCTCAATCAAAATATTCTAAAGTAATTGAAAGTTGTTCCCTGAAGAAAGATATTGAATCATTTCCTTATGGTGAGAACACATTGGTTGGTGAAAAAGGTTATACTCTTAGTGGTGGACAAAAGGCTAGAGTTACTCTTGCAAGGTAAACCTATTTCAAGGATTCATCTATTCAACTATTAATATTTCATTTATATTCAGAGCGGTCTATGAAGATGCTGATGTCTATATATTTGATGATCCTTTAAGTGCTGTTGATCCTGGAGTTGCTGAACACTTATTTGACAAGTAAATATCATTTAAGTTTTAACATAAAAATACTAAAATAATGATCTCGATCTGATCACAGGTGCATTAATGGTTATTTGAAAGGAAAGACTCGTGTCTTGATTACACATCAACTTCAATTCATTCGTCGAGCAGATAAAATACTAATCATGAATGAAGGTGAATCAGTGGCCTTTGGAACTTTTGAACAACTAAATAATGTTGGAATCGATTTTATAAAGTTTTTAAAAGAATCGAATGATAGCGAAACAGAAAATCAAGCACAAGAAGAAATGCTGTCAATAGACGAATTGTATTCTGATCAAGCAACTAAACAGAAACCAAAGATTCTCAACCCATTGAAAGTTACAAATGAAGTCGAAGTGGCAAAAATAATCGAAGAACAATTAGAATCTCGAGAAGAAAAAGTAACTCTTGGTTCACTTGGAAGTCGAGTCTATTTGGATTACTTCAGAGCTGGTGGAAACTTAATATTCATAACAATCTTCATAATAATGACTTTCCTCTCACAAGGAATAATTAACTTTACTGATTGGTGGATATCGAAGTGGTCCGATGATTCACTTGAGTTATCACAATCATACAATAAAACAACAGCAAACAGTGATTTCGCAACTTATTCAAGACCATTCATTACGAGAAATGCATATTTTTATTTTGCTTTGATGTTCAGTCTTCTGGTATCAGTATTCATTAGAATCGGAATGAATTTTCGTATTTGCTTGAAATCTTCCGAATCTCTACATAATACAATTTTCGCTCGATTATTAAAATCTCGCTTAGCCTTCTTCGAAACTAATCCTGTTGGTATGCATACTTATAAACCATTCTTAATCGAAAATCACTATAAATTCTGTCTTTGATCTCACAGGCCGCATTCTGAATCGATTCACTCGTGATATTGGAATAATTGATGTCACGATAGCCAACAATTTAATCTCAATGAACTTGGTAAATAAGTTTCAACAAAAAATCGTTAAATGCAAAACCAGACATTCAATCGTTTCAAGCGATATCATTCTGGACATAGATTTTACTTTACTAAGATTACTTTTCACTACAGGATCTTTTACACATTTTCGGTGCGATAATAATCAATGCAGTTGTTTTACCAGTTATCATTGTCGTGATTCCGGTAATTTTAATAGTGGCGTGGTATGCCAGACGTGTCTATTTGCAAGTAGCTCGTTATATTGTTAGAATGGAAGCTCAAAGTAAGTGCTGAGCATCTCTTAATATAATGAACAGAAACACAAATAATTTCATTTTTTTCTTAAACAGCAAGATCTCCCATCTATACACAATTTGCTACAACTTATGAAGGCTTGACTACGATTAGAGCCTTTCAATATGAATCTAAATTCATTAAGCAACTTTATCAATGTATAAACGATAATAATTCATGTAAATTCATATATTTCGGTGTGAGTCGATTGATGGGAATGATTCTTGATATATCTATGCTTCCGTTACTAATAACAATTTTAGTATCAGTTCTTTCATTTCCATCGAAATTCGCTGGTGGCGAAGTTGGACTTATTATTTCAACCTTTCTCACTATTTTTCAAGCTCTACAGCATGGTGTGAGGATAACAGCCGAATTCGATACAAACATGATTTCCGTGGAAAGAGTTTTGGAATATGGTAGACTCCCAATGGAGCCTTCATGGGATACGATAAAAGCTGGTTTATTACCAAAGACTTGGCCTAATTTAGGTGACATTGTATTTAAAGATGTTTATCTAACTTATCCTGGTGCCATTAAACCCGTTCTTAAGAACTTGAACTTTACTGTTTCGAGTGGCGAGAAAATTGGAATTGTTGGTCGAACTGGAGCTGGTAAAAGTTCATTAATATCAGTATTATTCAGATTAACAGAGTTCGATGGAAGTGTCATCATCGATGGAATAGATATCAAACAACTTGGACTTCATGATTTACGAAACAAGATATCGATAATTCCTCAAGATCCAATTCTCTTCACTGGAACAATTCGATCCAATCTCGATCCTTTAACCGAATATTCAGATGACTTCATCTGGTCAACCCTAAAGACCGTAAACTTGGCTCGAACCATCGAGTGCATGCCTGGTGGACTGGATGCTATTGTTACTCAAGGAGGATCCAATTTAAGTTTAGGTCAACGACAATTGCTCTGTTTAATTCGAGCTTTACTTCAACGAAATAAAATTATGATTCTTGATGAAGCAACATCCAATATGGATCATCAAACAGACACTTTAATTCAAGAAACAATCAGAGCAGAGTTCAAGGATTGTACTGTTCTTACAGTTGCTCATAGACTCAATACGATTATTGATATGGATAAGATTCTCTTGATTGATGCTGGACAAGTGCTTGAATATGGAGAACCTTATCTACTCTTGAAACAAGAAACTGGACATTTCAAGTCATTGGTTTCAAAAACTGGAACTTCATATTCAAATATGCTATACAAGATAGCTGAGAAATCATATGCCATAAAACATCTAACACAATAATCCATAAAGTATTCTGTATAAGCTAGATTTTATTTAAATACAAAGTGTTAAATTCAATACAAAAATAACAAAACACATTGAAATAAACTAAGAATTTCAAATTTCGCTTAAACTGCATCCCTTGATTACTGGATCAGCCGTGAAGCAGCTTAGTCTTAGCGTGCGTTTGCTTCATAGTATGCTTAGTAGAAATAAGTGAGAGACGCGATTAATTTATTTCTTCGTAAATTAATAAATTTTCGTGGTACCCTCGATTTCAATAAAATGGTATTTCAGCAAAAAGCTTTATCACTATTTATAAAAATTAGATTTCGAACCGTTGATATTATTGCGAAAGCAACTGTTCAAATTTGGAAGTTCTCTATTCTTCCAAAGCCTTTGCGAGATTGGTCGATACATGATGTTTATCGTAATTACTTCAACTAACTGTTGCTTTTGCCTGCTGAATTTCCTCATTTATATGATAAGATTGCTTGATAATCCTAAACATTGAAGTGGTTAAACATTATCAAGATCTAGCATGGTGTCTTTGAGGAGGCAAATTGGTTAACAAATAACAAGATGGAAATTTTCACCTTAATCATGAATTGCATCTTTATTATTCTGTTTCAAAGTCAACATGTTAAGAATTAAAATCATTGACAGTTGAACATCGAATGTTTAAAATAAAATTGATTCTTCATAAGTTTTATTCATTTTAAATTGAATAATGGAGCGACCGCAGCTGATAACAAAACCATGTCGATATGATGAAGGCTCATTGTTATCTAAGATAACATTCTGGTGAGTAGTGACACTTGTTTTCTTGAAAATACATTTTGAATTAATGCTACTTCTGCAGGTCATCGGATCAGTTAATGAGGAAAAAAGCGATGAATGAAGCTTATTCAACTTGGCCGAAACTCAAGAGACAGGAATAATGAGAATACTAAAGTTTCAATTTCTTTTTCAGGTGGTGTGCTGCTACATTGAGAATAGGATTGAGTCGTGAACCAACCAAAGATGATTTATACAAATGTCCAGAAGCTGATGAAGCGCTCAATGCTATAGTTCAATTTGAAAGGTTAGCTCATGGGATTCCTCAAAATATTGAGTTTACTAATTTTAATTTCTTTTCAAATGCAAACAGAAACTGGGATCGAGAAATTGCAAATGGAAAGTTGAACAATAGAAAGCCAAGTTTGTTGAAAGTAATCGCCAGAACTTATGGAATCGAAACCATTTTATATGGAATCTTGCTAACCATTGATGTAAGTTGAGTTTAAATCGCAAACTAAAAGACTAGTTAACTAGTAAATAATACAAGCGAATTGAATGAAGCATAAGTTGAGCAATGAGATTTTGATAAAATGCTATCAACATGTTAATGATGTTAATTGTCTCAGTGAATATTCACAAATGACTTTACTTTACAGGATACTTTGAATTTGTTTCAAGCTTTTCTTCTTGGATTCATTGTTCGATACTTTTCTAAGGACAACTACAGTAATGTCACATGGAATCAATGCTTGTACTGTTCAATCGCTCTGGTGTCAGCTATATTCTTTTGGGGATTCCTTCGTCATCATGTTATTATCTTGACTCAGAGACAAGGTCTAAGAATAAAGACGGCATTAACAGCTGCTGTTTATAAAAAGGTATAGAATCACCTCTTCCAAAGTAACACTAACTGACTGATTGACTCTTGCAGATATTGACGTTGAGTAAGGCCGCAACAACGAAAACTGATGTCGGTTACATTCTTAATATACTAACAAACGATTTGACGAGATTTGAGGAGGTATAGATATATGTTCAGTCGATATCGAAATTAGATTTTAATCGATTCAATCTTTTATTCACAGGTTACCTTCTCGATCATTTACCTTGTTTTAGGTCCATTGTTGGGAATAGCTGCACTCATTTACATGATACATGTTATTGGACTCGCGAGTCTCGGTTTGGTCATTGTTCTGGTTTTTCTCATTCCTTATCAATCAGTTACAGGCAAATATTCAGACAAATTTAGGTAATTTCATGAAATCTTGAAATCGAATCTGAAGACTAAAAGACTTAGCTTGAACCTTTTTTTACAAATAACCAAAAATTTCATCATTTTTATGGACACAGAGCTCAAACAGCGAAGTTGACTGACAAAAGAATCAGTTTAATGGAAGAAATGATTTCGGCCATTAGGATAATCAAAATGTTTACATGGGAAAAGTCGTTTGCTGATATCATTTCACAAATACGAAAGTGAGTAATTCGGTGAATTTTTCATTTTCTATGCCTCGTCCGCTTCAAATGCCCTGAATTTGGTCAAATATTTTCTTACAGAAAAGAGATTAAAAAGATCCGTAATGCAGCGATTCTTAAATTGATGAACGTTTCTATTCATACATCAGCCCCTCGAATCATGGTTTTTGCTTGTTTACTGTTACACGTTCTTCTGGGTCGACCATTGACTCCTGAAATAGTCTTCATTACGATATCCTTATGTAATGCCTTGAGACTTCCTGTCACTTTCCACATTGGAAATGCTACAGGATTACTCGCTGAAACTCTGGTCTCAGTGAGAAGAACTCAGGTACAGTAATGATCTTTTCGTGTTAGATGAAAACGAATTTTGCTATCAATTGACCATAATTTACAGGAACTTTTACTATCTGAAACGCGTCAAACAAAAGAATTAACGAGAAGCGAAAAGGAAAGTATGGTTAAAGGCTCAATATGGATGCACAGGTTTAATGCTAAATGGGATCAGGTTTGTATTTTGATTCATTGAATATTCATTTTTGAACTGAATTCGTATTCATCCGAAATCGTATCGATTTCTCCATAGAACTCGACTATAATGAACTTAAAAGACATCTCTTTTAAAATACATCCAGGAGAACTATTGGTCATCATTGGAAGCATTGGTGCAGGCAAGGTGAGAATTACTTAAGTCTATTGCCTATTTTTAAACTAATCTGATGAAGAATTATTCAGTGGGAAGGATTTGTAAGGATGGATGACCGGAAATTCCATTAGTTGATAAGTATATGAGAAGACCAAAGAAAACGAAAAGAAGTGAATTCGAAGTAAATTTCGGAACAGCTACATAATTAGTGACATTTTTTATTCAACAGACTTGTTTAGTTATGTCTCTACTAGAAGAGATTGCTGTCATTTCTGGTTCATGTAAAGTCGTCGGTAAAAAAGCGTATTCGCCTCAAGAATCTTGGACATTTGCTGGAACAATAAGACAAAATATTCTCTTTGGAAGAGAATATTCTCAATCAAAATATTCTAAAGTAATTGAAAGTTGTTCCCTGAAGAAAGATATTGAATCATTTCCTTATGGTGAGAACACATTGGTTGGTGAAAAAGGTTATACTCTTAGTGGTGGACAAAAGGCTAGAGTTACTCTTGCAAGGTAAGCCTATTTCAATGCTTCGTCTATTCAGTTATTAATATTTCATTTCCATTTAGAGCGGTTTATGAAGATGCTGATGTCTATATATTTGATGATCCATTGAGTGCTGTTGATCCTGGAGTTGCTGAACACTTATTTGATAAGTAAATATTATTCAACTTTAAACTTAAAAAATACTAAAATAATGATCTCGATCTGGTCACAGGTGCATTAATGGTTATTTGAAAGGAAAGACTCGAGTCTTGATTACACATCAACTTCAATTCATTCGTCGAGCAGATAAAATACTAATCATGAATGAAGGTGAATCAGTGGCCTTTGGAACTTTTGAACAACTAAATAATGTTGGAATTGATTTTATAAAGTTTTTAAAAGAATCGAATGATAGCGAAACAGAAAATCAAAAACAAGAAGAAATGCTGTCAATAGACGAATTGTATTCTGATGAAACAACTAAACAGAAACCAAAGATTCTCAATCCATTAAAAGTTACAAATGAAGTCGAAGTAGCAAAAATAATTGAAGAACAATTGGAATCTCGAGAAGAAAAAGTAACTCTTGGTTCACTTGGAAGTCGAGTCTATTTGGATTACTTCAGAGCTGGTGGAAACTTAATATTCATAACAATCTTCATAATAATGACTTTCCTCTCACAAGGAATAATTAACTTCACTGATTGGTGGATATCGAAGTGGTCCGATGATTCACTTGAGTTATCACAAAGTTATAATGAAACAACAGCAAACAGTGATTTTGCAACTTATTCAAGACCATTCATTACGAGAAATGCTTATATTTATCTCGGTTTGATGTTCAGTTTATTAGTAGCAGTAATCATACGATTGGGTATGAACTATCGTCTTTGCTTGAAATCCTCAGAAACATTACATAATCGAATATTCGCTCGATTATTAAAAGCTCGTTTAGCGTTTTTCGAAACGAATCCTGTTGGTAAGTTTATAAATAAATTATTTTTTCATTTTTCAAAGCAACATATCTAATTAATGCACCTTCAGGTCGTATTTTAAATCGATTCACTCGTGATATGGGAATCATCGATGTAACAATAGCAGAAAACCTTATGTTCATGAACTTGGTAAATACAAAAATCCTTTCAAATCGACAGTAAAAATTCATGGAATCTTTTCTCAATAGGATCTGATAGAAATTATTGGTGGAATGATCCTCGCTAGCATAGTTGTTCCAATCATCATAGTCGTGGTTCTGGTAATCTTAGTTTATGCATGGTACATAAGAAATGTCTATTTGCAAATCGCTCGTTTCATAGTTAGATACGAAGCTCAAAGTAAGAAAAGTATCAAAACATAAACTTATTAAACATATTAATCAAAATTTGTCTTCTTTCGACAGCAAGATCTCCAGTGTATACACAAATCGCAACGACTTATGAAGGATTGACGACAATAAGAGCCTTTCAATATGAATCTAAATTCATCAAACAATTATATCAATTCATAAATGAAAATACTTCGTGTAGATTCATGTATTTTGGTGTTAGTCGCTTCGTAGGAATACTTATCGATCTGTCAGTAGTGGGTTTATTGGCAACAATACTAACAGTTGTTCTTGCCTTTCCTGACAAGTTTCCTGGTGGTGAAGTGGGTCTAGTCATTTCAACTTTTTTGACGGCTTTTGGATCATTGCAATATGGAATCAAATTAACTGCCGAATTTGAAACTGACATGATTTCAGTAGAAAGAGTTTTGGAATATGGTCGATTACCGATAGAACCTTCATGGAAAACGATAAAAGCTGGCCTATTACCAAAGACTTGGCCCAATTTAGCTGACATGGAATTCAAAAATGTTTATCTAACTTATCCTGGTTCCATTAAACCCGTTCTTAAGAACTTGAACTTTACTGTTTCCAGTGGTGAGAAGATTGGAATTGTTGGTCGAACTGGAGCTGGTAAAAGTTCATTAATATCAGTATTATTCAGATTAACAGAGTTCGATGGAAGTGTCATCATCGATGGAATCGATATCAAACAACTTGGACTTCATGATTTACGAAACAAGATATCGATAATTCCTCAAGATCCAATTCTCTTCACTGGAACAATTCGATCCAATCTTGATCCTCTAACCGAATATTCAGATGATTTCATCTGGTCGACCCTAAAGACCGTAAACTTGGCTCGAACCATCGAGTGCATGCCTGGTGGACTGGATGCTATTGTTACTCAAGGAGGATCCAATTTAAGTTTAGGTCAACGACAATTGCTCTGTTTAATTCGAGCTTTACTTCAACGAAATAAAATTATGATTCTTGATGAAGCAACATCCAATATGGATCATCAAACAGACACTTTAATTCAAGAAACAATCAGAGCAGAGTTCAAGGATTGTACTGTTCTTACAGTTGCTCATAGACTCAATACGATTATTGATATGGATAAGATTCTCTTGATTGATGCTGGACAAGTGCTTGAATATGGAGAACCTTATCTACTCTTGAAACAAGAAACTGGACATTTCAAGTCATTAGTATCGAAAACTGGATCTTCATATTCAAATATGCTATTCAAAGCTGCTCAAAAATCATATTTCATCAAACATAACAAAAAATAAAAAAATAAAATTTGGAAATTCATTTGTTAATTCTATTTTCAATTTTCATCATTTAGAACCGAATCAAAGATTTCAAGTAAAATTTTTAGATGGATTTGTGGAAATCATGAAATTGGTTTCTCGGTAAATAGTGAATAAGATATATTCACGGATGTTCAATTTCTGAGTGAACACTGTACTCGAAGATGATTTAGGCTCATAAAATAATATATTGCTTTACAGATATCTTGATTGGTATCATAACAACTATGATTATGTTTCTTGTTTTACTTAATCTTGCGTAGATGCCTTAACTCATTTATATTGAGAGCAACGACCAAATTTTCCGGTAAATCATTCAATTAGAAGTGGTTAATGTTTATCAAGAATAAAGATGATGACTTTGAGATGGGAATTTAGATTAAGATCAAGATCATCTTTGGTGAAATATTTTTTCATTTCATTTGTTCGAAGTGAATCTAATGTTTCAATGTGAAAATGATCATCACTTGTGAAAACAAATAGTTTGGACGTTTTGATGCACAGCAATGGAGCAACCGCAACTAATAACAAAACCATGTCGATATGATAAAGTCTCATTCCTGTCTAAGATATCATTCTGGTGAGTATCGATACTTATATCATGAATAAAAATTCGATACACGATTGTCACATAATGTTGAAAATAATCAGCTTTTATTCAAATCCAGCAATAGGCTGTATTAAAGCTGCATTTCATTTCACGTGAAATCTTTAAATCTTTAAAATCTTTTACCAAAATCTAATTCTCTTTTAGGTGGATTGCGCCCACATTGAGAATAGGATTGAGTCGTGAACCGACTAAAGATGATTTGTACAAATGTCCAGGATCTGATGAGGCGTTGAATGCTACAGTTCAATTTGAAAGGTTAGCTCATGGGATTCATTGAAATGTTGATTTTACTAATCTAAGCTAATTTTTCACTCGAACAGGAATTGGGATCAAGAGATAGAAGATGGAAAGTTGAAAAAAAGAAAACCAAGTTTATTAAAAGCTATTGTTAGAACTTATGGAATGGAAACGATCTTTTACGGAATCTTGTTAACCATCGATGCAAGTTTAATTTAAATGAATATTGAGGAATAAGTTGAACATGAAATGATATTTGCTAATCTAAAAGACTCTTCTAATTTTCTATTTGCATTTAACTTGACATTGAAGGAAACAATGAATTTGGTTCAAACCTTTTTACTTGGCTCGATAGTTCGATACTTCTCTAAAAATAACTATAGTGGTGTTACTTGGAACCAATGCTTGTACTGTTCAATTGGCCTAGTATTGTCTCTATTCATATACGGGTCCCTTCGTCATAATATTACTGTTTTTACGCTAAGACAAGGCCTTAGAATTAAAACTGCATTAACGGCTGTAGTTTATAAGAAGGTAAAGAATCCCTTCTTTCAAAGTAAAATTAAACTGATCGAATAACTTTTGCAGATATTGACTTTAAGTAAAGCGGCGACAACGAAAACCGATGTTGGATACATTCTGAACATCGTCACCAATGATTTGTCCAATTTCGATGAGGTAAAGTCAGTTGAGAGAGTTAGAAGTTTAACTATTAATGAGCTAAATTTATCTTTTATTTACAGCTTATGTACACACTAATTTACATCGTTTTAGGTCCACTGATGGGAATAGCTGTACTCATTTACATGATACAAGTTTTAGGCCTCGCGAGTTTGGCTTTGGTCATTGTTTTGGTTCTTCTCATTCCTTATCAAGCAGTTACAGGGAAGTATTCAGACAAGTTTAGGTAATTATTTGTTATTAAAACTTCATCTTGAAGATGGAAGGAACAATTGTTGATAATTTGGTGAATTTTCTGATTTCAGAGCTCAAAAATCGAAGTTGACTGATAAAAGAATAAAGTTGATGGAAGAAATGATTTCAGCAATTAGAATAATCAAAATGTTCACTTGGGAAAAGTCATTTGCTGATATCATTTCAGAGATACGAAAGTGAGTATTATAATTTGCTATAATGCATTCGAATTGCATTTTTAATTTTTCAATACAATATTTTCTTTTTAGAAAAGAGATGCGTAAAATTCGTAATTCAGCATGTCTGAAACTAATGAACATGGCTATCCATACATCAGCACCAAGAATCATGGTTTTTGCATGCTTATTACTTCACGTTCTTCTTGGTCGACCATTGACTCCCGAATCGGTCTTTATTACGATATCTTTATGCAATGCACTAAGATTGCCTGTTACTTTTCACATTGGAAATGCAACAGGATTACTCTTCGAAACTCTGGTTTCTGTCCGAAGAACTCAGGTATAGGATGGACTTGAACAATATTAATCTTTTACTAGTGACTTAATACATTAACGCGTGCTAATATATTACTTGTTCTCCGAACTTAATTAAACACATGATTTACAGGAACTGTTACTGCTTGAAACTCGTAAAACACAATCATTAACCAGAAGTGAAAATGAAAGTTTGAACAAAGGCTCAGTATACGTTGATAAACTAAGTGCTAAGTGGGACAAGGTTTGTATTCCAACTTTTAACGTCGAGACAACTTTTAATGTTAATATTTGAAACTAATTTCATTTCTATTCATTAATTAGAATTCAGAAATAGTGAACTTGAAAAACCTTTCATTCAAGTTAGAACCTGGAGAGTTACTGGTCATTATTGGAACCGTTGGTTCAGGAAAAGTAAGAATCATTATAAAAAATTCTTTTGTGGAAGCAGCGCATTATGACTTATTTTTTGCCAAACCTGATTTAATTGCTGTATTTAAACTAAATGACTGTTCACATTAAATTTGATAAAACAGACTTGTTTAGTGATGTCTCTTCTCGAGGAGATTGCTGTAGTTTCTGGTTCATGTAAAGTCGTCGGAAGAAAAGCGTATTCACCTCAAGAGTCTTGGACATTTGCTGGAACAATAAGACAAAATATTCTCTTTGGAAGAGAATATTCTCAATCGAAATATTCTAAAGTAATTGAAAGTTGTTCTCTGAAGAAAGATATTGAATCATTTCCTTATGGTGAGAACACATTGGTTGGTGAAAAAGGTTATACTCTTAGTGGTGGACAAAAGGCTAGAGTTACTCTTGCAAGGTAAGCCTATTTCAATGCTTCATCTATTCACTTATCAATATTTTGTTTGTATTCAGAGCCGTTTATGAAGATGCTGATGTCTATATATTTGATGATCCTTTGAGTGCCGTTGATCCTGGAGTTGCTGAACACTTATTCGACAAGTAAATATCACTCAAATTAAAACATGTCAAATACTCGAGTAATGATCTATATCTGATTGCAGGTGCATTAATGGTTATTTGAAAGGAAAGACTCGTGTCTTAATTACACATCAACTTCAATTCATTCGTCGAGCAGATAAAATACTAATCATGAATGAAGGTGAATCAGTAGCTTTTGGAACTTTTGAACAACTAAATAATGTTGGAATTGATTTTATAAAGTTTTTAAAAGAGCCAAATGAAAGTGAAACGGAAAATCAAAAACAAGAAGAAATGCTGTCAATCGATGAACTGTATTCTGATGAAGCAACTAAACAGAAACCAAAGATTCTCAATCCATTAAAAGTTACAAATGAAGTCGAAGTAGCAAAAATAATTGAAGAACAATTGGAATCTCGAGAAGAAAAAGTAACTCTTGGTTCACTTGGAAGTCGAGTCTATTTGGATTACTTCAGAGCTGGTGGAAACTTAATATTCATAACAATCTTCATAATAATGACTTTCCTCTCACAAGGAATAATTAACTTCACTGATTGGTGGATATCGAAGTGGTCCGATGATTCACTTGAGTTATCACAATCGTACAATAAAACAACAGCAAACAGTGTTTTTGCAACTTATTCAAGACCATTCATTACGAGAAATGCTTATATTTATCTCGGTCTCATGCTTAGTCTGTTGGTATCAGTGTTCATGAGACTTGGAATGAGCTATCGAATTTCTCTTAAATCTTCCGAAACTTTACACAACCGCATATTTTCTAGACTATTAAAGGCTCGACTTGTTTTCTTTGAAACTAATCCTGTTGGTAAGTCTACGAATCGGTTTCAATCAGAAAACTCACAGAAAATCTAATTTTCAAATAAATTGAAGGTCGCATCCTGAATCGATTCACTCGTGATATGGGAATCATTGATATTATAATTGCCAACAATTTAGTTTTTATGAACTTGGTAAGTTAAAAGTACTAAAAGTTTAATTACCGATTAAAAGTTTCAGAAATTGATTATTCATGCATTTTCAATGTCAGCAATTTGAAAACTTAAAACTTAATTACTGACTTTTAACGTTGAATTAGTAACTTGGCATATAAAAATGTCTCTACAACACATTAATAATTCTTATTCAAATCTTCTCAGAGCTTCGGACAACTGGTCGGGGTTCTAATAATCACTGGAATTGTTCTTCCAATCATCATTGTTGTAGCTGTATTAGTTTTATGTCTAATGTGGTTCGTTAGACGAGTCTACCTACAAACAGCTCGTTTCATTGTTAGACTTGAAGCTCAGAGTAAGATAACTTGTATCGCTGGTGGAATATCAATATTAATTCAACTATTTTTTCATTCCACAGCAAGATCTCCAATTTACACACAGATAGCAACGAGTTATGAAGGACTGATGACAATAAGAGCTTTTCAATATGAATCCAAGTTCATCAAGCAATTATATCGTCTGATAGATGACAACAATTCATGCAAATTCATGTATTTTGGTGTTAGTCGATTGATTGGAATGATACTTGATTTATCGATTGAATTATTACTGATCACCATGATGATAGCGATTCTTGTCTTTCCTGAAAAATTTCATGGTGGTCAAGTTGGTCTTGTTATATCGACACTTCTTTCAGTTTTCGGATCCCTCCAGTATGGGATACGACTAACAGCCGAATTTGAAACAAACATGATTTCTGTGGAAAGAGTTTTGGAATACGAAAGACTCCCTATGGAGCCGTCATGGGATACGATAAAAGCTGGATTATTACCAAAGACTTGGCCCAATTTAGCTGACATGGAATTCAAAAATGTTTATCTAACTTATCCTGGTTCCATTAAACCAGTCCTCAAGAACTTAAACTTTACTGTTTCGAGTGGTGAGAAGATTGGAATTGTTGGTCGAACTGGAGCTGGTAAAAGTTCATTGATATCAGTATTATTTAGATTGACAGAGTTCGATGGAAGTGTAATTATCGATGGAATCGATATCAAACAACTTGGACTTCATGATTTACGAAACAAGATATCGATAATTCCTCAAGATCCAATTCTCTTCACTGGAACAATTCGATCCAATCTCGATCCTCTAACCGAATATTCAGATGACTTCATCTGGTCGACCCTAAAGACGGTCAACTTGGCTCGAACCATCGAGTGCATGCCTGGTGGACTGGATGCTATTGTTACTCAAGGAGGATCCAATTTAAGTTTAGGTCAACGACAATTGTTCTGTTTAATTCGAGCTTTACTTCAACGAAATAAAATTATGATTCTTGATGAAGCAACATCCAATATGGATCATCAAACAGACACTTTAATTCAAGAAACAATCAGAGCAGAGTTCAAGGATTGTACTGTTCTTACAGTTGCTCATAGACTCAATACGATTATTGATATGGATAAGATTCTCTTGATTGATGCTGGACAAGTGCTTGAATATGGAGAACCTTATTTACTCTTGAAACAAGAAACTGGACATTTCAAGTCATTGGTTTCGAAAACTGGATCTTCATATTCAAATATGCTATTCAAAGCTGCTCAAAAATCATATTTCATTAAACATCCAAACTAATAAACTTATATCATTTACAAGTTTCATAAAATCTAAATACATTTAAATCGAAGCAAAGATATAAATTGAGTATCGGTCAGATGAAAGTACCTAATAAAATTTCTATGAGAAAACGGGAATGGACCGAGTCACATAAAATTGAACTTCTAGTTTTTTAATCATAAATTTGAAATTTAGCTTCGCAATAAAAATATCACTCGATAATTACAATTTGGTTTCATAGTTGATTTGCTTAAGATTGATTATATCTGAATTCAATGTTACTTCTTGCTTCCACTAGGAGATGTTCATGATTTAGTCAAAAGCCTAATGAACATAAAGATTGCATTAGCATCAAGCAATTTTGTTAAATTACGTAAGTCTTATTTAATTCAAAGTAAGCAATGCAATTCAGTATCAATTTATCTTCATTGCAATTGTTATTACCTTAATTATGTTGTGTTTAGTGCTAACTAGTTTTACTCAAATGGCCTTCACCATTTACATTGAGGCTCACTTAGCAATAGCAAAGCTATTCACCCAGAAGTGGTTGAAGTTTATCAAGATTCAAGATTGCTTTTAGATGTGAATTTGGATAAAGATCAAGATCTTTGGTGAAATATTTTTTGATTTTCACTCAAAGTAAATCTTGTGTGTTCAACGTGAATATAACATCATTACCGATGTCAACTCAACTCATTTGTAACAACACATTTGTAATTTACTTCATTCGTGAAAACATTTGATGCACAGCAATGGAGCAACCGCAACTAATAACAAAACCATGTCGATATGATAAAGTCTCGTTCCTGTCTAAGATATCATTCTGGTGAGTATCGATACTTATATCATGAATCAAGTTAATTAAACATCGTCCATTCTTCGACTTTGCGAGTGTTTATCAAAGTTGAAAATAACAAAAGTTTTGTTCGATTCAGCATTAACCTGATAGCGTAAAGCGGCCAAATTATTTATTCCAATACATGAAAGTTCTATTGTATTGTATAATTCTGTTTTAGGTGGAATGCACCCATATTGAGAATAGGATTGAGTCGTGAACCGACCAAAGATGATTTATACAAATGTCCAGAAGCTGATGAAGCGCTCAATGCTACAGTTCAATTTGAAAGGTTAGCTCATGGGATTCAAAATATTGAGTTTACTATTTTACTTGCTTTTCTAATCCAAACAGAAACTGGGATCGAGAGATTAAAAATGGAAAGTTGAACAATAGAAAGCCAAGTTTGTTGAAAGCGATTGTCAGAACTTATGGAATCGAAACAATTTTATATGGAATCTTGTTAACCATTGATGTAAGTTGAATTTAAGTTTAAACGGATAATGAGGAATAAGTTACACATGAAAATAGTAAAGGATCCCTAAGAGATAATCGGAATGAATTAAAATTGAAAAATAACCACTTTTTACAGGTGAATTTAAAAATGAATTAAAAAATGTAAGATTTCGCTTTTTACACCTTTTATGATCCACCTTCATGATAGTAAAACTCGCCATGCAACAACTTTTCTAATACCCAATTCAAATCTGATTGTAGGATACATTGAATTTGGTTCAAGCTTTTCTTCTTGGATTCATAGTTCGGTACTTTTCTGACAAAAACTACAGTAATGTCACATGGAACCAATGCTTGTACTGCTCGATCGGTCTAGTTCTAACTCTTCTTTCCTATGGAATCATTCGGCACAATGTTTTCATCTTGACTCAAAGACAAGGTCTAAGAATGAGGACTGCATTAACGAATGTAGTTTATAAAAAGGTATAGAATAACCTATTCCAAAGTAACACTGAATTGATTGATTAACTTTTGCAGATATTGACTTTGAGTAAAGCGGCGACAACGAAAACTGATGTTGGATACATTCTCAATATCATCACGAATGATTTAACCAGATTCGATGAGGTAAATTCAAGTTACAATTTCTAACTGAAACTTAATTTATTTATTCGTTACATTTATGCACAGCTTATGTACACCATCATTTACCTTGCTTTAGGTCCATTGATGGGAATAGCTGTACTTATTTACATGATAAATGTTTTAGGTCTCGCGAGTCTCGGTCTGGTCATTGTTTTGGTTTTTCTCATTCCTTATCAAGCAGTTACAGGAAAGTATTCAGACAAGTTCAGGTAAGAATCTTGAATTGAAGAAAGAAAGAATGAAAGGAACAATCATTGGTATTCTGATTAATTTTTCAGAGCTCAAACAGCGAAGTTGACTGATAAAAGAATCAAATTAATGGAAGAAATGATTTCAGCAATTAGGATAATCAAAATGTTCACATGGGAAAAGTCATTTGCAGATATCATTTCAGAGATACGAAAGTGAGTATTCCGGCAAAATAATTCATACAAACTGATTTTCGTTATTCTCATTATTTTGATAATAGAAAGGAGATAAGTAAAATTCGAAATGCGGCATTCCTGAAACTGATGAACATTTCTGTACATGGATCTGCATCTCGAATCATGCTTTTTTCATGTTTATTGTTCCATGTTCTTCTGGGTCGACCTTTGACTCCTGAATTGGTCTTTATCACACTCTCTCTGTGTAATGCTTTACGAGTTCCGGTCACTTATCACATTGGAAATGCAACAGGATTACTCTTTGAAACTCTGGTCTCAGTGCGACGAACTCAGGTACAGCATGGACTTGAACAATTCTTTTCTAGTGACAAGATACATTAACGAGTTCTAATACATATATTACTTGTTCTCCGAACGTATTCAAAACATGATTTACAGGAACTATTACTGCTTGAAACTCGTAAAACACAATCATTAACCAGAAATGAAAATGAAAGTTTGAACAAAGGCTCAATATACGTTGATAAATTAAGTGCTAAGTGGGACAAGGTTTGTATTCCAACTTTTAACGTCGAGACAGCTTTAAATGTTAATTTTGAAACTAATTTCATTTCTATTCATTAATTAGAATTCAGAAATAGTGAACTTGAAAAACCTTTCATTCAAGTTAGAACCTGGAGAGTTACTGGTCATTATTGGAACCGTCGGTTCAGGAAAAGTAAGGACAAATGTCTAGCTACTTACTGTAGAACCCCAGACAAATCATTCCATCAACGAATGAAATCATTCATTTCATATCATATTTTACTTTAATAATCTTCACTTTCATCATAATTAATATTCAACAGACTTGTTTAGTTATGTCTCTTCTTGAGGAGATTGCTGTCATTTCTGGTTCCTGTAAAGTCATCGGAAGAAAAGCGTATTCGCCTCAAGAGTCTTGGACATTTGCTGGAACAATAAGACAAAATGTTCTCTTTGGAAGAGAATATTCTCAATCAAAATATTCTAATGTAATTGATTGTTGTTCCCTGAAGAAAGATATTGAATCATTTCCTTATGGTGAGAACACATTGGTTGGTGAAAAAGGTTATACTCTTAGTGGTGGACAAAAGGCTAGAGTTACTCTTGCAAGGTAAATCTATTTCAATGCTTCATCTATTCACTTATCAATATTTTGTTTGTATTCAGAGCGGTTTATGAAGATGCTGATGTCTATATATTTGATGATCCATTGAGTGCTGTTGATCCTGGAGTTGCTGAACACTTATTTGACAAGTAAATATTACTCAACTTTAAACATAAAAAATACTAAAATAATGATCTCGATCTGATTGCAGATGCATTAATGGTTATTTGAAAGGAAAGACTCGTGTCTTAATTACACATCAACTTCAATTCATTCGTCGAGCAGATAAAATACTAATTATGAATGAAGGTGAATCAGTAGCTTTTGGAACCTTTGAACAACTAAATAATGTTGGAATTGATTTTATAAAGTTTTTAAAAGAGCCAAATGATAGTGAAACAGAAAATCAAAAACAAGAAGAAATGTTGTCAATCGATGAACTGTATTCTGATGAAGCAACTAAACAGAAACCAAAGATTCTCAACCCATTGAAAGTTACAAATGAAGTCGAAGTGGCAAAAATAATCGAAGAACAATTAGAATCTCGAGAAGAAAAAGTAACTCTTGGTTCACTTGGAAGTCGAGTCTATTTGGATTACTTCAGAGCTGGTGGAAACTTAATATTCATAACAATCTTCATAATAATGACTTTCCTCTCACAAGGAATAATTAACTTCACTGATTGGTGGATATCGAAGTGGTCCGATGATTCACTTGAGTTATCACAATCGTACAAAAACTCAACAGCAAACAGTGATTTAGCAACTTATTCAAGACCATTCATTACGAGAAATGCTTATATTTATCTCGGTCTTATGCTTAGTCTGTTGGTGTCAGTATGCATAAGACTCGATATGAACTATCGACTTTGCTTGAAATCCTCTCAAACTCTACATAATCGAATATTCGCTCGATTATTAAAAGCGCGACTTGAATTCTTTGAAACTAATCCTGTTGGTAAGTTCCCGAAATTGCCAATAACAATTGCTGAAACTTAAACAAAAATATTTCACTATCAAACTGAAGGTCGCATCCTGAATCGATTTACTCGTGATATGGGAATCATTGATAACACAATAACCAACAATTTAGTTTTCATGAATTTGGTAAGTTGAGATAAGCCATTGTACTTATTCGCATTGTGAAATGGTAATTTCCAGCAATTTCAAAATATGAAACCTAGATGATTATATTTCATGGCGTAAATACAGATCAAATTATGATTCATGCATTTTAATAGTTTCTTAAAATATTTTCCACTCTAACTTTTCTTATAGGATCTAATTCAAATCGTCGGAGTAATCATAATCACTGGAGTTTTTCTTCCAATCACAATAGTTGTAGCTATACCAATCATGGTTCTAATGTGGTTCGTAAGACGAGTTTATCTACAAACTGTTCGTTTCATTGTTAGACTTGAAGCTCAGAGTAAGACAACTTGTTTTTTCTAGTACGACATGAATAATAATTCAATTATGTTTTCATTCAACAGCAAGATCTCCAATTTATACACAGATAGCAACGAGTTATGAAGGGCTGATGACAATAAGAGCCTTTCAATATGAATCCAAGTTCATCAAGCAATTATATCGTCTGATAGATGATAACAATTCATGTAAATTTATAAATTTTGGTGTTAGTCGATTGATTGGAATGATACTTGATCTATCAATTGAATTATTACTGGCCGCGATGCTGATAACAATTCTAGTGTTTCCTGACAAATTTCCAGGTGGTGAGGTCGGTTTTATTACATCGACTCTTCTTTCAGTTTTCGGATCCCTGCAGTATGGGATACGACTAACAGCCGAATTCGAGACAAACATGATTTCCGTAGAAAGAGTTTTGGAATACGGAAGACTTCCATTGGAACCTTCATGGGATACGATAAAAGCTGGATTATTACCAAAGACTTGGCCCAATTTAGCTGACATGGAATTCAAAAATGTTTATCTAACTTATCCTGGTTCCATTAAACCCGTTCTCAAGAACTTAAACTTTACTGTTTCGAGTGGTGAGAAGATTGGAATTGTTGGTCGAACTGGAGCTGGTAAAAGTTCGTTGATATCAGTATTATTCAGATTAACAGAGTTTGATGGAAGTGTCATCATCGATGGAATCGATATCAAACAACTTGGACTTCATGATTTACGAAACAAGATATCGATAATTCCTCAAGATCCAATTCTCTTCACTGGAACAATTCGATCCAATCTCGATCCTCTAGCCGAATATTCAGATGACTTCATCTGGTCGACCCTAAAGACGGTCAACTTGGCTCGAACCATCGAGTGCATGCCTGGTGGACTGGATGCTATTGTTACTCAAGGAGGATCCAATTTAAGTTTAGGTCAACGACAATTGCTCTGTTTAATTCGAGCTTTACTTCAACGAAATAAAATTATGATTCTTGATGAAGCAACATCCAATATGGATCATCAAACAGACACTTTAATTCAAGAAACAATCAGAGCAGAGTTCAAGGATTGTACTGTTCTTACAGTTGCTCATAGACTTAATACGATTATTGATATGGATAAGATTCTCTTGATTGATGCTGGACAAGTCCTTGAATATGGAGAACCTTATTTACTCTTGAAACAAGAAACTGGACATTTCAAGTCATTGGTTTCGAAAACTGGATCTTCATATTCAAATATGCTATTCAAAGCTGCTCAAAAATCATATTTCATTAAACATCCAAACTAATAAACTTTCACAATATGCATTCATAATTTTTATAAAATCTTTCTACAATTTCCATCATTTAACTAAGGATTCTCTTGTGTAATTGTTATCATTATGATAGATGAGCTTAAAATGTAATGCTTTTTGAAAACGTAATTATGGGATTTCTTATGTTCAGTGGTGCATACAGCTTCAATTTAGTATTGACAGTTGTCAAATTTTCAATTATGATGAATTGATTTCAACTGATTAAATCAAAGTTTTTGAAAATGCAAATTCAATGCAATTACAATGGAATCGTAAGATGACCCAAGAATTTATGTGTTTAACACTGCCAAAGACTTTCAATAGAAACACAGTTAGTCTATCGAGTTGACCTACATTTAGCCCAGATCTCAACCCTGTTGCAAATCTCAAATCTAATCTTTCTATCTCTTTCAAACCTGTTGCAGAGAAAGTTCAGTCTAAAAAAGCCAGAACTCGATTGGGTAACAAGTATTTGATGAAAAGGTCATAAAAATAGATTATTTACGGTTCTTTCAACACTTGTATCACTTATTTATCACTTCATTTGAAAATCTTTGTTTTTTTATACTTTTGTCCTCTACTGTACATCTACCAGTTACGACTACAGTTAGACTTAAAGCCTAATGGACATAAAGATTAGATTACCATTTATTTAATCACGTAAGCAAACAGTTTAATGATTCATTAAACTGTTTGATTCTATTCTGGTTCGAAGTAATTGCTCAAATTCATTTTCAGTCTATGAAAAATTCAAGCGAGTAATAAATAGAAATACAGATTTTTCCAAAATTATTCAAATCTCTGATGCCTATGACAAAGCTGTGCAAGATTTACCTTATTCTGACCAAGAAATCAAAATGTTTCAATAAGCTCCAGTGACGACATGTGAGGTTGAACGTAAATTCAGCCAATATAAATTGATCTTGTCCGATAGAAGGACAAGATTCACTGAAGAAAATTTGAAAATGTATTTTGTTGTTCAAACAAACTCTGACTTTTCTGATTAAATTAAACCTTTTTGGATTATTATTGAATATAAATGATTAAATCTTGACATAATCAAGAATAAAGATAAGCATATTCTTACATATTCTGAATATGTTTTTGCCTTTTTGCTGCCTTTCTTTGTTAATGAATGAATTAAGGGTAAATCTCGCGTACCTGTAGATTGTAAAGACAAGTAATAAAGCTTTGTTTCCAATATTCGCTGCAATAATGAAATAAAAAGATTTTAGATTTCAAAGATAAATTCATTTAAATTGATGTTTTATGAAACCACCAATGGAGTAGAGTTTTATTCATTAACCACCAAGTAAGCAGCGAAATTCAATATCAAGTTATCTTCATTGTAATCGTAATTGCCCTAATTATGTTCTGTTTAGCAGTAATTAGTCTTGTTCAAATGGCTTTCACCATTTACATTGAGACTGATTACCAATTCACCAGTAAAATCATTCACACAGAAGTGGTTAATGTTTATCAAGATTAAAGATGATGACTTTGAGATGGGAATTTGGATAAAGATCAAGATCATTGTTGAAATATTTTTTGATTTTCACTCAAAGTGAATCTTGTGCTTCAATGTATACATAACATCATAACCGATGTCGACTCAACTCATTTGTAACAATAGTTTACTTCATTTGTGAATACATTTTGATGCACAGCAATGGAGCAACCGCAGCTAATAACAAAACCATGTCGATATGAGCAGGTCTCGTTCCTGTCTAGGATAACCTTTTGGTGAGTATCACTTGTTCCACAATTTTGCTCTGAAAGAAGTAAGTCATTTGAATCTCGAACGTTTTGTCGATAAAACTGAAATTTTATAAGATTCGAATCAATTGTAATCGCAGAACAATAGCATTAGTTTTGCTCGAACCAAACCATTTCAATGTTTTTGTTACGTTTACTAAGCAAAACAACCCAGATGATTTGAAGCTTGCCAAGTTCATTTGAACTAAGCTTAAACTAAACTCTGGCTAATGTTGATCTTAACCTCTAACAAAACTCATCACACAGACTCTGATCAGAATTAAACTCTTTTTCAGGTGGAACGCAACTACATTGAGAATAGGGTTGAATCGTGAACCGACCAAAGATGATTTATACAAATGTCCAGAAGAGGACGAGGGTTACAAGTCTACAGTTCAATTTGAAAGGTTAACTTTTGGAATCGATTGAAATGTTGATTTTATCATTAACTTTGGTTTTTTTCTTGGCTACGAACAGAAACTGGGATCGAGAGATAAAAGATGGAAAATTAAACAAAAGAAAACCAAGTTTGTTGAAGGCACTCATCAAAACGTATGGAATAGAAACAATTATTTATGGAATTTTCTTGTCAATTGATGTAAGTTGAATTCAATTTAAATCACAAAAAAAACTAATGGCAGCTGAAAGATCAAGTAAAGTAGCAAAAGTCAACTAATAGAAACAAGAAAAAAGTAAATAAATATCAATGAAGTACTTTTTACAAGTGATCCAGATTACTTTCAAGCATTTTTTTAGTTCATAGACTCTCAATGAACAATCACATTAAGGACAGAATTTTTTGCAAACTTTACAAAATTGAAACTCATCATGCGAAAAAAATGACAAAACTTTCTAACCTTCTATTTACATCTGATTGCAGGATACATTGAATTTGGTTCAAACCTTTCTTCTTGGATCAATAGTTCGCTTCTTTTCTACCAACAATTACAGAAATGTCACATGGAATGAGTGCTTGTACTGTTCGATTGGTCTGGTATTATCTCTATTCTTATACGGGTTTATTCGCCACCAAATTATTATGCGAACTCAGAGACAAGGTCTAAGAATAAGAACTGCGTTAACGGCTGTAGTTTATAAAAAGGTATAGAATAACCTATTCCAAAGTAACACTAAACTGATTGATTGACTTTTGCAGATATTGACTTTGAGTAAAGCGGCGACAACGAAAACTGATGTTGGATACATTCTCAATATCGTCACGAATGATTTATCCAGATTCGATGAGGTAAGATACAAATTCAATTGAAATAGAAATTTGATCCATTTTTCAATCTTTTATTCGCAGCTCATGTTCTCGATCATTTACATCGTACTAGGTCCATTGATGGGAATAGCTGTACTCATTTACATGATAAATGTTTTGGGACTCGCGAGTCTCGGCTTAGTCATTGTTTTGGTTTTTCTCATTCCTTATCAGGCAATCACAGCAAAATATTCAGACAAGTTTAGGTAATTTTTGTGATGATAAAAAAATCTGAAGAAAACAATTATTTATATTTTGATAAACTTTTTCAACTCAGAGCTCAAACAGCAAAGTTGACTGATAAAAGAATCAAATTAATGGAAGAAATGATTTCAGCAATTAGGATAATCAAAATGTTCACATGGGAAAAGTCATTTGCTGATATCATTTCAGAGATACGAAAGTAAGTAATTTGATATAATCATTGATTCAAACGTATCTTATTGACTTTTATTTTTGCTTTATAATAGAACAGAAATGAGTAAAATTCGAAACGCAGCATTCCTTAAATTGCTGAACATTTCTGTTCATGCATCAGCACCTCGAATCATGGTTTTCGCTTGTTTGTTGTTCCATGTTCTTCTGGGTCGACCCTTGGATCCCGAACTGGCATTCATCACACTATCTTTATGTAATGCCTTGAGACTTCCTGTTACTTATCACATTGGAAATGCAACAGGATTACTCTTCGAAACTCTTGTCTCAGTGAGAAGAACTCAGGTACAGGATGGACTTGAACAATTCTTTTACTAGTGACTTAACCAATTCTGCGTTCTTCGAACGTAATCAAACACATGATTTACAGGAACTATTACTGCTTGAAACTCGTAAAACACAATCATTAACCAGAAGTGAAAATGAAAGTTTGAACAAAGGCTCAATATACGTTGATAAATTAAGTGCTAAGTGGGACAAGGTTTGTATTCCAACTTTTAACGTCGAGACAACTTTTAATGTTAATTTTGAAACTAATTTCATTTTCTATTCATTAATTAGAATTCAGAAATAGTGAACTTGAAAAACCTTTCATTCAAGTTAGAACCTGGAGAGTTACTGGTCATTATTGGAACGGTTGGTTCAGGAAAAGTAAGTATAAACTTAGACTTATTTATTGTGAAAAGCTGATTATGTTGTTAAAGTTGAGAGCTAAATGAATGTTTAATTGCAAATTAACATTCTAACTTCATTTAACAGACTTGTTTAGTTATGTCTTTGCTCGAGGAGATTGCTGTAGTTTCTGGTTCCTGCAAAGTCGTCGGAAGAAAAGCGTATTCGCCTCAAGAGTCTTGGACATTTGCTGGAACAATAAGACAAAATATTCTCTTTGGAAGAGAATATTATCAATCAAAATATTCTAAAGTAATTGAAAGTTGTTCCCTGAAGAAAGATATTGAATCATTTCCTTATGGTGAGAACACATTGGTTGGTGAAAAAGGTTATACTCTTAGTGGTGGACAAAAGGCTAGAGTTACTCTTGCAAGGTAAAGCTATTTCAATGCTTCATCTATTCTGATATTAATTATTTATTTGTACTCAGAGCGGTTTATGAAGATGCTGATGTCTATATATTTGATGATCCTTTGAGTGCTGTTGATCCTGGAGTTGCTGAACACTTATTTGACAAGTAAATATTACTCAACTTTAAACATAAAAAATACTAAAATAATGATCTCGATCTGATTCCAGATGCATTAATGGTTATTTGAAAGGAAAGACTCGTGTCTTAATTACACATCAACTTCAATTCATTCGTCGAGCAGATAAAATACTAATCATGAATGAAGGTGAATCAGTAGCTTTTGGAACTTTTGAACAACTAAATAATGTTGGAATTGATTTTATAAAGTTTTTAAAAGAGCCAAATGATAGTGAAACAGAAAATCAAAAACAAGAAGAAATGCTTTCAATCGATGAACTGTATTCTGATGAAGCAACTAAACAGAAACCAAAGATTCTCAATCCATTAAAAGTTACAAATGAAGTCGAAGTTGCAAAAATAATCGAAGAACAATTGGAATCTCGAGAAGAAAAAGTAACTCTTGGTTCACTTGGAAGTCGAGTATATTTGGATTACTTCAGAGCTGGTGGAAACTTAATATTCATAACAATCTTCATAATAATGACTTTCCTCTCACAAGGAATAATTAACTTCACTGATTGGTGGATATCGAAGTGGTCCGATGATTCACTTGAGTTATCACAATCGTACAAAAACTCAACAACAAACAGTGATTTTGCAACTTATTCAAGACCATTCATTACGAGAAATGCATACATTTATCTTGGACTAATGGTTAGTTTGTTAGCTTCAGTGTTCATAAGACTAGGAATGAACTACCGAATCTGTTTAAAATCATCAGAAACTTTACACAACCGCATATTTGCTAGACTACTGAAAACTCCTTTAGCCTTTTTCGAAACCAATCCTGTTGGTAAGTGACTATTTTTCTTGAACCTAACTCGAAGCGCTAATTCAACTGTTCAAACTTTCCAGGTCGTATATTGAATCGATTCACTCGTGATATGGGAATTATCGACGTCACAATAGCCAACAACCTAGTTTTCATGAACCTGGTAAGTTATATCAATAATATCGAATAGTAGTAATTTTAGGAATTAGTAATTCATCTTTTTGGATAATTATTATAATGATTACAATTTTAGCATTTCATCTGAACATAATAATTATATAAAATTTTCTTACAGAATCTTCTACAAATTGTTGGAGTAATTATAATCACTGGAATTGTTCTTCCAATCATCATCATTGTAGCTGTATTAGTTGTATGTCTAATGTGGTTCGTTAGAAGAGTCTACCTACAAACAGCTCGATTCATTGTTAGACTTGAAGCTCAAAGTAAGATAACTCAGTAATGTTCAAATGCTATGGAAAAGATTATTTGATCGAAATTTGTTTTCTTTCGACAGCAAGATCTCCAATTTATACACAAATCGCGACAACTTATGAAGGATTGACTACAATAAGAGCCTTTCAATATGAAGCTAAATTCATTAAGCAGTTATATCGTCTAATAGATGACAACAATTCTTGCAAATTCATGTACTTCGGTGTTAGTCGTTTGATTGGAATGACACTTGATTTATCGATGATAGCCTTATTGGCAACGATGTTGATATCAGTTCTTTCATTTCCTGAAAAATTTCCGGGTGGAGAAGTTGGTCTTGTTATATCGACTCTTCTCTCTGTTTTCGGATCCCTGCAGTATGGGATACGACTAACAGCCGAATTCGAGACAAACATGATTTCCGTAGAAAGAGTTTTGGAATACGGAAGACTTCCATTGGAACCTTCATGGGATACGATAAAAGCTGGCTTATTACCAAAGACTTGGCCCAATTTAGCTGACATGGAATTCAAAAATGTTTATCTAACGTATCCTGGTTCCATTAAACCCGTTCTCAAGAACTTAAACTTTACTGTTTCGAGTGGTGAGAAGATTGGAATTGTTGGTCGAACTGGAGCTGGTAAAAGTTCGTTGATATCAGTATTATTCAGATTAACAGAGTTCGATGGAAGTGTCATCATCGATGGAATCGATATCAAACAACTTGGACTTCATGATTTACGAAACAAGATATCGATAATTCCTCAAGATCCAATTCTCTTCACTGGAACAATTCGATCCAATCTCGATCCTTTAACCGAATATTCAGATGACTTCATCTGGTCGACCCTAAAGACCGTAAACTTGGCTCGAACCATCGAGTGCATGCCTGGTGGACTGGATGCTATTGTTACTCAAGGAGGATCCAATTTAAGTTTAGGTCAACGACAATTGCTCTGTTTAATTCGAGCTTTACTTCAACGAAATAAAATTATGATTCTTGATGAAGCAACATCCAATATGGATCATCAAACAGACACTTTAATTCAAGAAACAATCAGAGCAGAGTTCAAGGATTGTACTGTTCTTACAGTTGCTCATAGACTCAATACGATTATTGATATGGATAAGATTCTCTTGATTGATGCTGGACAAGTGCTTGAATATGGAGAACCTTATCTACTCTTGAAACAAGAAACTGGACATTTCAAGTCATTAGTATCGAAAACTGGATCTTCATATTCAAATATGCTATACAAGATAGCTGAAAAATCATACTTCATGAAACATCCTAAGGAATAATCCATAGAACAATTTACACACAAGTAAATATCCATAGCTATAACAAAAGATACGAAAAATTCAATAAAAATTGTAATAAATTTGCTATCAAAATTTTTTTCACATCTTTCGTTTAGTCCGATCCTGTTGTGTGACTCAAAGTATAAAAGATGCAAATCGTGAGTTTCACTAGAAAAATATCGAAGATTCAATCGTAATTTATTGGTATCTCTTTCATGCTCAGTAATCAAAAACAATCAGCTTCCACGATCAAAAATTTTCATCGGTTTGATATAATCTTTAACAATGTCGAATGACAAAAAACGAAATTTACATAAAGATGAAATCTTTTGACGCTTTTTGTTAAGTTCAGATTTTGAATATTCTGCTACTTTAACATAGCAAATAAGTGTTTAGGTTTAGCAATTAGACAATCATTGAACAATTCAATTTCATGTTTCATGAGTTTTACGATTAATAAAATTACTTTCATTTCGAGTGAACCGAAAAGTTGAACTCGTTTGTTAATTGAAAGGTAATTGAAACAATTGAATACAATTGAAGCTGAATAAAGAATGGAAACTTACCGAAAGACGAAAAAGTATATTCCAGTTTTGATGAAGAAATTATGTGCATACAAGAAGCGAGGAAGAAACTTGAAGAAACCAGAAGTGTAATGGTTACAAGGAAAAGGACGGAACAGTGCTTAATGAGGGAAACACCGGGTCGAGATGAAGCATAAATTGTTTGAATTATGGAACCAAAGAGAATCCAGACAATAAACGATTCTCTCGCAGCAAGATACCATGAAGTTGAATCTCCTAGAAAGGCTTTAGAACTGTCGGTTAGAACAAAAAGCGAACTAATTCCAGCCCCAAACTCTTCAACAAATCGTATAATAGTAAAGGTAAACATGATGAAAGGAAAAGTTCCAAAGAAGATGATCATTCTCGATGAATGATGAATACCACGGAAGAGCAGAACAAATATCAGAATCCAAATCAAGGCGAGATTCAGAATAATATTGAGCTTGGCGTAGGCAGAGAAACGACCATTATCTTGTTGACCTAAAACAGTGTTGTGATAATAGCCAGATACTGACCAGCCAAGATAGTCGTTTGCATAAGTTGAACTATTCCATGCTTTAAAGCACCCTGAGTTAGAAAAGAAAAAGAAATTAAAACAATTGAAATTTCCAACAAATGGTTCAATCAATATTTAGAGTTTTCATTTTCATCGAAATTAAATTTTCAAAAATTCTTTTCCCAATCATTTTCCAATCTTCCATGAATGGTCAATCTCAAGAGATTCTCACAATTGAAATGCTCTGATTTAGACGTTTCTTTTGATTATTCAATTATTCCAATTTTACCGCTTTTGACAGGTAAAAAGGTTACTTTGAATAAGAGAACTTTTTTTCCCCTAAAATGTTGAGAATCTTTTGCGTGTCCAAATCAATGGTCCAGTTGATTTAAGAAGATTAAAGAAGCGTCTAAACAAAACGTGTTCAAATTGAATAACAATCAAACTCGTTTTTTATTGGCTCAACAACAATTTCTGTTGTTCACTTTTACCCACTTTTTTCGTCTCTTTTCATTGTCTCTATTTGTCAGGTAAAAAAGTTTCGCCAAGGTTGGTTTCAATCTTAAATCTTTTTTCTCTCTTTACCTGACCTAAACAGGATTTTTATGGTTTTAACCGAATCGTTAGTTTACAGCAAATTAAACAAATGGTTAACATTCAGTGTAACGATGTTCACTGTTGGGTAAACCAACAAAACGATAAAATGGAGCATTTGGTGACTTTACATTTCGACTTGATACTTACTCTCACCGTTGAACCTTCTGTTGCAATAAGTCCATTTATATGCCGAATCTCTGGTTGTTAGGAATGAATCTCTCAGGTAAACGAGTAACCATGAAATTGGAATAACACTGTAAATTGAAATGATTGTATAACAGAACAGAAAGGCTACACCAATTCCTGAAACGAAAGTCAATTTTCAAATAATCGATTAAATGGAGAAGAAAAAAAATGAACATTTAAGCAGGTTAAAGCAATTGTCCTTAACATGGAAAAGTTAATTAGCAAATGATTTACCTTTAAAGATTGGTGATATAAACCACATATCAAGGTAACCCGAGCCAAGATATTGACCAAGGACCATAAGAAAGAGTAAAAAAGGAAGACCAAAAATAATACTAATGAAGGTAAATTCAATTAAAAATGGACCTGAAACGAGAAGAAAATGTTATGTAATTGTTGTTAACAAATCAAGGAAATCGATTAACTGATAATCATTATCGACTTCAATAAATCATGATTCGATTTTGTCGTCATTTTTCAAAACGAAAAGTTAATTGTTGCACCAAAATTGGATGTTATTTTAATAATCTTTAGAAGTTAATCCGAGATTGAATTATCTGAAATGATCAAATCATGAATTGTTTCAAACTTTTCGAAATCTTTTTTCTCTTTTTGGAAATGAATATTGATTCTGAATTTGTTTGTGCTCTTGAAGGATCTAAAAATCAAAAATTGAAGTCAAAGTCGATTCAATTTTATATTCAAAGTTGAATTATTGTTACAAATTGAGTTCGTGTGGTTAACGTCATGAAGCGCTTTTAAAGGTTAATCATATTTCGAGCAACTCGTCTCATGAAAGTCCAATATCGAAACCACTTTTATCACTCAATTCATAACAAATTATAATGTTATCTTTGCTTCTGATTTTTACTGAAACGTAAATGCTTTGAGTTCATGTTGCACATGAGGAAATTCATGAGTAAACACAGTGAATTACAGTCAAACTGTTTCATGTCCAGTTGAGTTACTTTCACTTGAAACTTTGACAAACTTTCACACAACTTAACCTGACCAATGAAAGCAAAAGAACTGGAAAATTAGAGAAATGTTAATCATGATAAAAGGGCAACTGAACAGGTCACTTGAAATGGTCATTTAACATTTAAAGTTGAACAATACAAATGTGCCAATAAAATCATCCAATATTGTATCCAAGATTATATCAACCATGAAACATGAAAAGACAATGAATAATTGGAAATCAAGTTTGAATAAATGATAATTGATTTAAATCTAATTGATAGACAACTAAATGGAAAACAAAAGTCTCTCATGAAAAGTAAACAAGTTTCAATATAATTGAGGAAGTTTGAGTGACAAAATAAAGCGAAAGTAAATAAGCTTGAAAATAACCCAAATAATTGTGAAAAGGTAATAAGGTAACAATAATTGGAAAAGTTGGTAGAAATTCATTGACTAGAAAAGAAAAGGTTCAATTGATGAAAAATAGTTAACTTTCCTTCAATCCTGAGTAGAAAATATTGAAAATGAAAATTGTTGAATAATCTGAAAATGCTTCAAGCAATTGATTGTTACATCATGACAAAGTATCGATTTAGAGATGATCAATTCCTGCAGATGATCAAAGAAGGTAAAAGGAAGGAAAGTTTAATGTAATAATTAGAAATGCTTTTATCATGATAACCTTGATCTAAAGGAATGAAGAATTTTAAAAAAGAGAAAATGATGAAAAAGGAAAATGCGAAATCAGTTGAAATACTGATTGGAAAAGTACCAAGAGCAATTAGTTCAATTGATTTGTAGAGATGAAGAGATAATTGTTTTTAGACGAAACTGAAAAATTGAAAATTTCTCAGAAAATGAAAGAAAATGAAAATTTATTTTCTCGTGTTTATCATAATTGAAGGCAAATTGGTCTCAACTGTGGTGACACATTTTCCCATCATGACTTGATCAATTCCATCATCGGTTTGATCAGAAATCATCTTTTCTCTCTCTCTCTCTCTTCATTTAGACTATTTTCAGGTGGAAAAAGGTGTAACAATGAGCTTTTGTTTTCCATTCAATGTTGGCTAACATCCAATGTTGCTTCCAATCAGTCAATCAATTAGTTTCATCCATTTCATTACTTCATATTCATCTTAACCGGAAAACCTTTTTTCAACCATTAAACTGGTAAACCTGGTTTTGTTTCAAAATTTGATTAACTTCAAGATTGTCACTAAATCTGTTTACCTTTTCCTTTCATCTTATCTTTTCATTGAAAAAGCGTTTATTGTTTTCAGATTAGTCAAGAGTGATAATTGTTCATCTCTTTACCACTTTCTTATCAAAGTTATCTGCAATCACACCCATGAGTACAGTTTAGGTGACCTTTCTGTTCAACAGCAAAAGGATAACAAATGTTTGAAAGGCGTTGATATGTTGAAATGGTTCAACACTTCCGGTCAGACTATTCATTTTTCCCATTATCATTCAGATCAATTTCACTTTTCATATCAATGTTTAAACGCTGAGTTGTGCTGTTTAACAATCAACTGAAACAATTTTGATTGATGAATGAAATTGGTAATTATCATTACATTCAAATGTTGATCATTGTTTCAATGAATGGGAAAAAGACTCGACTTTTGGGCAACAATTAACCTACCAAGTAAGCACGATCATTTCACGATGATTAGTCAGTAATAAAGGGAGAAAAGACAAAAAAAAGATTAATCAAGGTCGTCAATAGTTAATAAGTTGTATTTTGGGTTTTGATTGAAAAGAGTGAAAAGTTGAGCGATAATGATTATTCTGTAAGTTACTTTCAAATGGCTAATTTAACTGCAACTGATTTAAATTAGCTATTATTTGATTGGTGAGGTTAAGTTTCGTTTGGTTACCTTTAAGGAAATAAGTCAATATTGAGAAACGACAAATTGTATAAAAATTAGCACAACACAAAAGCGATGCAAAAAAAGGTGATAATCCGTTTGGCCATAATCCTTTGAGGGTTCGCCTTGTGTTGGACCCGATCAAGGGTTGCCTTAAAATGGTTCCTTGAGGTTGATCATTATGGCTCATTGGCGGTGTTGTTACATTTGTTGTCATGTTACTTTCACTAATAAACCCAGGGTTGATCCCATTATTATTATTATTACATTCAACATGATTAACATGGTTACTCATCAATTGTGGTTGTTGCTCATTTGAGCGATTCACTTCATTTTGATTATCATTAACGGTTGTCACTGTAGATAATGATGTTGAAGATGTTGTTGTGGAAGATGATTGTGATTGTTGATTAGGTTGATGAACAATATGGTTAACAGTTGATCCCATTTTAGAGTTGAGGTGATCATTAAAAAACAATGAAAATCACAAATTAAACACTTTATTCCTAGAGCTTTAATCCAATGTTGACCAGAATTACTAACAAAAGTGAAGCCGAAAATTTTAACCAGAAAAAAAAGCAAACTTGAAGATTAAATTTCACAAGTTAACCATTGGTTGGTTTCACCTAAACACATTGACTCACCAGGTTAACCAAATGGGTAAATCACATAAACCAGGCACTTATCAAAATAAATAAGACTCGATGAAAGACTCAGTGTGGCACAAAAGTCTGGTTGAAGGAAAAATGCGGTAAAAAGTAAAATTGTCTGTTAAACCAAAAGCAACCAGATTCTCGATTTAATAGAAAAGGCCAAAAAAGCTGAGAGAAAAAACGTTTCCAATTAAAAGCACAAACAGAGTCAATTGATTAGTGTTAACAAATTAAAGATGGTTAAAAGAGAAAACAAAAAAACGTTGATTATAACGTTGGAATGAAGTGGCAAAAAAAACGAAAGTTAACCAAATCAAATTAACAACTAACCAACAGTCCGGTTCAAACCATAACAAAGCTGAAAAACGGTTAACCAGAAAAAGATTGAAACAGGCTCCATCTATCTGTATAAAAACAAATAGAAATGAGCAACAATGGAAAAGCTGAAAATTGAAAGATTTGAAGAGAAACCAGTTTGACGAGTAATTATTAACTTTCATTTTCAATTCAACTTTACTATTAGCTAATCCATTTCAACATTTCATGGTAAATATAATAATGATTATAAAAAGATTTTTGAAGAATAAAGAGAAAAAAAAGTTTTCGAAACAAGGTCAATCCAATACTATCCGTATTAACCAAATAAATACATTGTCAGGGTAATACAAGTTAATGAAAAATCCAGGCCAACAACTGGTTATCCTTGTCTTTCCCTGTTTTCAGAGTAAAACATTGAAGAAAACTTGATTTCAAGAAAACCTTTTTTACTAATCAAACATTCACCTGTGTTGATAATTCAAATCACAAGTTGCTTTCGAACCTTTTTCAATTCTTTTTCAATTTTCGCCATTTTAGGTTTGGTTATTGATTACTGACCAAACCCGATTACCATCATTTCCGGTATCAACTTCATCTATTGAACAACAAAGTTTACGGTCAACTTTTTGACCTTAACTCGGGAACATCAATTTTGCTGATTGATTCAACCTTTTGTAAGATTAACATTCAATTGCTTCTCCCATTTCCCTTACAAATCAATTTCCAAACATTTAATTATTCATTACTAAACCTTTCGCCTCTCAACTGATCAGCTTTAACGGTCATTCCTCATGACTCTGAATTGGATTTCATTGAAAAAACCAGAACAAAAGCACAAGAATAATTGGGCGAATAAATGGTTCAGGTTTTGTTTTTTTTGTTGAAAAAATCGAGAAAAGTGATTTCATGAAAGTTGCATGAAACTTGTTTGTAAAGCAGATTTACCTGATATACACTTGCTGATTAGCATTCATCTGATATGAACAGGACGTGAAACTGATTAACCAATTCATCTTGATACTTGTTATCACATTCACATAAATCCATTGTGATGAACGCCTCTTGATGAACATTGAAAACCTTTAAAACTCACACAAAGTCTATTGTTTGAGTTGAAGAGCAAACGATGGAAACTTTGTGAATTAAAAATTGAAACAAAAGCCTTTTTTTAAATGAACAATTGACTATTAATGAAACAAATTGAATGTTTAACTTTTCAAGGTTAATTCGCTGGTTTAAATCAACACTTGAATCTTTCTGGTTCCAATTGGAAAAAGAGAAATGTTGCTTTCAATTAGAAAAGATGATTTTAATGGGAAAATCATAGTGATAATGCATGATGATATACAGAATAATGATCAATTGCAACAATCAAATCAACAGAAAACTCAGTTAATCGATGAAAGATGATTGCAGTTAATTAGCCAATAATCTTTATTATTTCATTATCAGCATTCTTATCACGATAAATTCAATTTCTGTTCATCTTTTCATCTTATTCCAAGTTGCTGTTGGACAAGTGTTCGAGTCGGTGAAGCGAAATAAAGGAAAAATGCTAACTTTTCGAGTCAATTGAGGTTAGTTTAAAGGAATGGAGAAAAAATATCAATCAAAAAGACTTTACATTCCTTCATTTATACCATCATCATCATCGTTACAATTATTTATATTATTTTATTACATTTAATAATGATTATTGTTATCGATTTTAATTATTGTCTTCAGTTTGGTTTGGTGCGTCGCCGGTGAATCAACAAACGTCTGCATTCCATGTTATCGAGGTCTTCGTACTTCACAGGAACAACCACTTCGAACTCGAACATAATCCAGTCTCCATGGAATGGACTGGAAAAGAATGAAACAGAAAAGATTATCAACTAATCCAATAACCAAATATACGTGATTATAGAGTAATCATTATTCGATATTTCATGATATAAATATAATAATGATTAGCTTTGTGATTCGAATCAATTTCGAGTATAAATTACAAAAGAAACGAATCTGCACAATTACAGTCTGTGTCACCCAATAAATTGATTCTCATTAAGCAGATCTAATGATAAAAATGGTTTTAAAATTTGCGAAAACATGAAAAACGATTTGTTCTTACGATTGCAATATCAAGTCAATCTTAGCTGCAAATTAGTTATAATAACTTATTGAATTAACACGAAACTGATCTGATAGATTCTGATGGCTGATTTAGCACTCATTATGAATTTTTATCAGCAATCTTATTGACTTAACGTGAAAATATTAAAATTTATTTGGATTTAGTTTACGAAAGTCTAACAATGAAGCTATTTAAACTAGCCATGTTTCGATTTCAAGATAGATCTGATCGCTTTTTCTCGCTGAAAATTGATTGGAAAAATTGATCTTGCTTGAAATCGAAAACCACAGATTCTTAATTTAAACATCGAGGTCTATTAGTTTAATGAACTTGATCTTACCTGAGGTGCGCCATACTCTCTGACAACTGCATATGTATAACTGTACTTTTGCACACAACGGGATAAACCTTTAACATTAGGAGCTATAAAGCGACAATTTTTACCCTTAATACCTTCTTTACATGATGTTTGGTAAAAACTTTGTCGCGAAGTATTTGTTCCGTACAATTCCAATATTCGCCCGTTCCTAGAAACTCCACCTGGAAGAAATTTCGATAAAGCAAAAAATTGAATAAAACTAAAACGAAAAACCAAATATTCCAAAGAATATAAAAATGGAGTTTTGAATTTACCTTTCGGCTGGATAATTTCCGTTACACTAGGACAGCACTCTGCAAATAAACCAAAAAAAGGAGGTCTAGTGTCGATTGGTCGACGTTGGATTCTTTTAATTAGATTGGTTTGAAATTTAAAAGGTTCCATTGCTAATCTGTAAAATGAAAGGCGATGAAAAGTAAATGAACAAATTCCAAGTTGAATCAATGATTACCTTTGATTGTGCTTCCTTGAGCTGATAGATTTTTTATTTGGTGCTATATATAACCAGTCATCTGTGGATGTTACCGTTGAAAAGACCTGTGAATAGAAAGAAAATTGTAATTCCAAACAAATGATGATATTTCAATTTCAAATTGCTTCTCTTTACAACTGTAATCAAGTTCAAAGCACTTTCATTGATTCAGTTAATTTCTGTCCTTTTACAACTCATCAAACGATCAATTCTGTTGTTCATTATCATCTGTATGTAATTGAGATTTGTTGTTATAGTCAAAGTTTATGATTAACTAGAACATGTTGAATTGAATTCACTGGAAATGATCAGGAAACTCATTAGAGCAAGTTGATTTTATCCTCAGTTTATCTAATGCGATTAACAATGTTAATGGTTGTTCCAATGAGAAACATTGTATGGAAAACATGGGAATCATTTATTCCAATTCCATCACATAATCGTTCATGATGCAACAGATCTAATTATAGTAACTTGTTTGTGATTAGACAATTAAACAAATAACAGATGAACAACAACATCATTAATGTAACACTTTTGGAAAACACTTTTTTGATTGAAAAAAGGAAATAGTTCGAGGTTCGATTTAAAGCAACAATGAAAGTCGACACTTGGCTAAAAATATCCAATTCATTAAAGTGATTATTCAAATTGGTAAAGTTCACAGCTAAGGTCAACTGGAAACCTTCAAAACTCAATATTTGCGATTCAATTTCCATTCTATATTTAGATGAATTTAGAACTTGATTCATTTGAGGAAATTTTTAAAAATCAAAGTCAACTTCTCTTTTGTTAGCTTCATCGAGTTGACATCATTTAGATACAGTTTCATTGTAGCAGGGAAAAGTGAAATTATATTGAAATGATGAACTCGAAGGTGAACCATTAGCATAAAAAGCAAATTTGATAAGATCGTTTGAAGAAGAAAAACGAAAATCTGAAAATTTCTTTGCAAATGCAATTCAATTGTCCAGCAAATGTAACAGGTCAACAACTTTTTTCTATTTTCGCAAGTTTTTCTTTTCTGCATTAAATTGGAATAAAGCTTTCATGGAAAACAAAAAGTCGAGATTCAGGTAAAGAATCTATTGAGATATTTTGCTCCATGTTTTACAAAGTCAACTATCATTGGAATATTCAGTTTAGTGGAATATCGTTCAACATCGTTAGACTGGAAATGATGAAGTTTAAGGTGAAATGAGATTTCGAATGATTCGAGGATTGAAAGTTAATTTTGATTTATGGTAAAGAGGAAAAGATTGCGAGAATTGATGAATAATAACTTAATTTAGGAATGCAAATTACTGCAGCTGCAAACCAATTCTCATTCAGTATTTGTGCATGAAACTCAATAGAAGACAATTTTTCTTTTATTCCTTTCCGATCAGGTTAACATTGCAACATGATCTGAAAACATTTGAAAATCTTGCTTTACATTGATGGTTTAAGCTAACAAATTTTGTTCATTTCTTTTTCCTTTCCCTTCATTCCTTATTCCTAATACCTTTTCATGATAATATTAACCTTTACAACTCATAAATGTCGCTCAAAAGTTATTTTACTTTTAAAAGGAAAACATCATTTTGATTGAGTAACAAGTCACAAATGATTTTCCAATGGAATTAAATGTGCAACATGTTGGTCTATAATCAGCATTTGTCTGAAAAAAGAGAAAAGAAAAGTTCTCAAAATTCATTCTCCTTTATATTGTGATATTTTTAACTCCAAGACATGCCATGAAAAACAACACTTCAGTTAAAGGTTAATAGTTTTTGGTCTAACACCAAATGATGAGTAAACGAACATGAATAATCTTTCTTCAAACACTTTGACAAAAACACTTCTGTCTCATCTTTAATCCACTACTTTGTCAACATTGTCTAACATTTGTGTTGGAAAGTTCATTTGAAAAGTTTCACTTCGAATCGCAAATTGATTGTCCAACAAAAATCCAAAAATACCAATTATCATGAAAATTATTGGAAAACTTTAAAAAGAAATTTATTTTTGGAACAAACGAAGACACAAATTTCCTATCCTTGCTCACAATAAATAATAGCTAAGAACTACAGCTTCTAGTATGTTTCATGACTAAGGGCTCAAGAATCAAAAGTTCATTTCGTGGCGAACTGCTTTTTCGAAAATGCTAAATAACTTGCTGAAAAACACTGAAATACTCATCGCAAATGTCCGAAATTTCCAATCATAAAATTTCTAAATATCCATCATTTGATAGAAATTTCGGAAAATTTTAATTCTATGGCAATCCTGGTAAGGAATCGAATGAATGCTCAATAATTTCTAGAAATAGTTTACTGCAGAATTTCATTTGCTTGTTCGAATTTTGATTTTTTAATTGCAATATTTTTCTATGAAAATTTGATTCTTCGATAATAATTCGATAAAACTGGAACTTGTTTGTTCACCTGAGGAGCGAAAAGAAATGAACAATCAGACTTTGAAGCATAAAAGATGAATTTAATGAAGGTTGACTTAAAAGTTAAAGGTGATTGATCAAAATATCGATGATTGACGGTTGAATCGATAATTGTAATGGAAATGTCAATTAGTTGAAATGCTGCTGGAAATGTTGATTTGTTATTAATCAAGTCCGGAGTAAAGAATGAAATATTAAAAAGGAAATGGGAAAAAACGAAAATAATTTAGTGTTGAAATGATTCGGTTAAAGCGGATCTGGGAGTAAAAACTGGGAGTTAAATGTATATAATAAATGCGTAAAGTTATAATTATTGTAAAGGCAAAAGACAATCTCATTGTGTCCAGTTTATTGATTGTTATCCAATAAATTACTCAGTCAATGAGAAGTAATAAAAAAAACTGTTGCCCAGAGCAATGCTGACCAATATTTTCTCTCGAATTAATAACATTTATTTTCATTTTACTCTCGATCGATCATATCTTCCTTTTCATCTTTTCTCTCTTTCCTTTCTTTCTCTTTCTAATCTTCTTCTTTTCACCCGGCTTTTGTACTGTTATAACAACAACTCCTACTTGTTATGTTTATTAATACATATTAACCTTACTCGAGAAACAAATTGCTAGTTAAGCTCAAGTTTCCAGTTAAGTCGAGTTTCAAAACGTTTCCATTATTTTACTTTCTTTATTCCAAATTTCGGGTTTTATTCAAAATGAATAAATGTTGAGTGTTTATCGTCGGTTGTAACTGTGGATGACAAATGCAAAAGATATTCACTTCATTTGCAACTTCAAAATCTTCGTCTAGAAATGCTTCGAGTTTGGATCGATCAACTTTGAGTGATAAATCAACTGGTCAGTTTAAAGTGAACCAACAAGTTATCTTGAATGAGGGTAAACACTGTCTCTATCCTGGTGCAGTGAGTCGACCCTATGTAGGTCTAAGTTTACCTTCTTGGTATCGACCCAAGGCTTCATCAACTATACTTAGACGCCGGTTAAGGTCGAGGCAATGGGTTACATATCAGGTTGAAGTGACTCCTGACAGGAAAAGGCCGAGGAAAAGTTGCTTATCTTCTGGTGTTAAAATTGGTCAAAGTGAACCAAGGAATAGTGGGAAAATGGAAAAGTCATCCAATCCAAAGTACCATTTGGTTCATGGATATGTGTCTGATGTTGAAGGTGTTGATGCAGTTACAGGAGAAGATGAAGTCGACTCAACTGAACCTCATCAAAAAGTTAAACTCATTGTTTTACTTTTAATGATTCCTTCGATTGCAGTCATGTTTTACTCTCAAACCAAATTTCGGCGAGAATCAAATGTTGTTGGTGACCTTTCAGGTCTTGGTTTACCACCCAACTATTTATCGAGTGGGATTGGATCAGGTTCATTTGGATCAAGAGACTTCAATTCACGGTTTAATCCAATTTATGGTAATCACTTTTTTTTCTTATATCTATTCGAGTTTTCTCAATGTTTGGTACAAGTAAAGTCTCGATAAAAATCAATCTTGGAATAATGAAATTAAGTTAGTCTATTTTTAGACTCTAAATTGTTTCAATGGTCCCATGAAATTCGATTGAGAAAATTGTTTTGACTTCAAAGAAACATAACGTTGAGTTAAAAAGAGATCACAAAATTTCCAAGGTATTAATAGTAACAAATTCATGTAAATTCCTTTTGAAAAACTCGAGATTATATAAAATGTTCGATGTTTCACGGAAATTATTGCTAAAGTCTAGAAATGAAATTCATTCCAAGTTCGATCAAAATAGATCCAAACTCAAATCGATGAAAAGCAAAAAATCCTTCATATTGTTAGTTCGATGTCAGAAGTAAAATAAACTTTCAGAGACCTCCATTAGCAGTCAGGAGTTGAATCGGTTCGTTAATATTAATAGATATTCTCGAATTTCTGTTCTGTCAATATTTTCACTCAAAAATTTGAAGCTAAATATTCGACTATCAAAAAGATGTTCAAACATCTTGACATTTATTGGCACTCTTTATATACCATATAAAGGACATAGTTAACGAAGTTTCAACTTTTCTCTTTCAGACCATCAAATGAGATCTGAGCATGCTGATGAATACGATCCATTCGACAATGCACCAAACGAAAAGGATCAAAATGATTATCAGAATGACCAGCAATCGAATGAAAATGAGCAATTAAACTCTGGATTTCCGGTCAACATTTTTAATGATGAGTTTAAAGACGAGAATAAAGCAGAAGAAAGCAAATCAATTGGAAATGATGATTTTAGTAAAGAAATGTATTCGCCCGAACAAATGAAAATTATGAATCTTAAAACAGTCGATGAATACAAAGTGATCTTTTATGAAAATAATGATCCTTATAATGTCAACCATTTATCATTATCAAATGAATTTCCATTCTCCCATTGTACAGATGAAAAACGTTGCCTGATAACAAATGATGTTACACTAATTAATATCAGTGATGCTCTGATTTTCACTGATCCCAACCATCCAAGTCCAAACAAATTGAAATCATTATCATCTTCAACTGAAACAACTTTAATTACCATATTTTACCAATTAACTCCAACTCAACTCAAACCCAAACTCAATTATAATCTAACTTTAACCTATTCTCACCTGTCCAACATCACTTATCGTCCATTTTTAATTGAAAAATCGTTGACAGATGGCGTTCCATTACAGAGTTCAAATTCACTTTCATCGGAAAACGTTAATGGTTCAAGTGCTTTTAACCTTTGGCGAAACAAACGCAAATTGGTTCTCATTGTTACTTCCAATTGTACCGTTGACCAACTGTTGGTAAGAATGGCGACAATTATGGAACGAATCGGAATCGATGTTGATCTTGTTAGCCTTTGTGATTATTGTCCGAAACTGAATAAAGTCACTGAATTCAGTTTAGAAAAGGTTTCACTCGAATCTTGTCTGGAAACACTTTTCGAACCTTATCTGTTTCTATTTGATTGGCAGCCTTACCTGTGTCCAACTCATGTTTCACCAATCACTTACTTTGCTCTTTCCTTTAACCTCATTCCAATAATTTCATATCCATTTAATAATACTAATGATGATAATTGCTATTGTAAACTGGACTTACCTAAAGGTTGTTTCATTAATGCACTTGATTTTACTTCATTACATGATCTAGGTGATCTTCTTAATCTAATTGCAAGTGATTTAAATCAATATCAGAGTTACATTAAGTGGACAGAGACTCATGAGATTTCAATGCAACGACAAGATTTATGTTCTTTATGTTCCTATCTTCATGGCAATCATTCCGTTATTAACAAAATGTCATCGAGTTACACCAACAACTCTGAATGTGTCTTTTGGAAAAAAGTGTATTCATTCTCTGAATTATCTTGATAGCTCTGAATAAAGGATGTTAACTATTGTAATTCACCATTCATGCGTTTTCCATCAATTTACCGAAGTTTACATGAAATTTAAACTTTCAAAGTCAATCATTTTTAATATCGTACAGCATTTACAAAATATTAATCTGTTTTTTCAACAGAAACTTAAAGGTTAATCCAAAATCGAATTGCAATTTCCATTTGCAAAAAAGTTATTCAATTAAAAATGCAGAACCTTTTAATCCATTTGTGTGAACATAAACTAATCGAGCTACAGATAGGATAAGCTGCAATATGATGGATTGAATAGAGAAGAAGATTTGATGGACTTCTAATCGATTGTAATCCGCAATCATTCAGAAAATCACGAAATCTTTTTTCGGCTCATTGATATTTTGAGATTAAATATTTACCATTGAAAAACTTGGCAAGTTTACCAAACCATTACCTTGCCAGTCTGATGAAAGGTGTTCATCTCTTCCAATGCTGGGAGTTATTGATTGATATTGATAAAATAATAAACAAGTAAAAGTCAATGAAACCAGTGTAGTCTCTACAGTAACATCTGTTTTTATCGAAAAATTAGTTTCTATTTCATAAGATTTAAGTCGTTAAAATATTTGCTATTAATATTTCACTGAGAACCGAGCTTTTAGGGAGATCACAAAAACTTAATTAGCTCTCATCGAGATAATGATACTCTGAACATATCGTTTGTAGAAACCGTTTAGGTCAAAGTAGTGAGCTTGAATCAATCGAAAATTTTCTAAACTGAAAGATCGAAGTTTGAAATGTTGAATGTCAAACTGAATGAAAAGTCTGTAAACGCTAGTTAGCTTTATAGATGTAAATAGAAGTGTAAATATTAAAGTAAAATTTGAAAACGAAAAACTGAAAACTCGATAAATTGGAAGTTTGAATGAGCAAATTTGTTTGATAAACAGAGTCAATACATTTAAATGATTACATTGATTGATCTCATTATTCATCTGGTTTCATTAGCATAATGATTGTGGCTAAAGTTCACGAGGAATCAGCAAAAAGCCATTAATTTGGAAATTTGGGTAAAAATGAAAAAGTGAAACAATTTATTTAATCAACTGAAATTATGAATAGTAAATCATATTGGCGAGAGAAAAAAAAGAAGAAGAAAAGAGCATTAAAAGCAACAGAATGCAAACATCCGTTCAATGTAGACACAATGTTTTTCAATGAAAGGCAATCTGAATGACTAAGTGTCCACAACATCCGTTTACCTTAACGACCCGAGTAAAAGGTGAAAGGTAAGCAAGAATATGATAACAAAAATTGTTGCTTCATTTCCTTATTTTAACTCCAAGTATCATTATTAAAGTTGAGAAACTGAGCGAACACAGAAAACGAGGAAAAAAAGTGATTCATGGAAAGATCATCATTTGTGTTCATCGTTATCAGTCCATTATCATGTTCCCATATTGTTCATGTATTTACAGATGGGATGAAGAGAAGAGAAAAAAAGAAAGATTTCAAGGTAATCTGATACAGTTTCAATCTTATCCTGACATGGGAATTTCAACTGTCTTCATGAGCAATTTTCACCACAATTTTTTTCTTCTGTTCAACACATCATTTCCTAACATCATCTTCATTTATTATCATGTCAAGGTATAAATCAGTGGAAGAGACAAAAAGGTTTATTAAAAAATGTCAGGGAACATGATAATGTTCATTTCATTGGAATTGACGTTTACTTTTGTTTTCGTCGTTTCTTTTTTTCCTTTTTTCAATCAACAATCCATCATTAACTTGAACGCATTCAATTTGTTCGTTGAATGTGCAATTGTTTAAGACAATTAGAAGAAAACAAATTTTCTTTTTGGAAAAATTCTGAAAACTTTTTCTTCTTCTTTTCGCTTTGGTACAAATTGAAAGTATTAAATGACAGAAAGAATCAACAATCTTCAATTCTGATCAACTAAATGTTTGTCTTTCAGAACAAGTTGTTGATCTTTTAGTGGCTAAAAACTCTCAACTCTTAACAGATTCAAGCTTTATTTATGTTACTTTTTATTCCGAACATTTTCGTCTCTCACCTGAATCAATCTCATAAACAAACTGTTGAGATAAACACTTTAAACATCAATATTGACCCAAAAGAAGAACAGAAAAAAACAAATTTTTCGAATTGAATAAATTTTCATCTGAATGAGAACAAAAGCTTGAACTTGAAATAAGATTCTCAATAATTTATCATATTCATTCAAAGAATTAGAACTTGAATATCGAAACAGTTTTTTGATTCTTCAACTGAAAATATTACTCATTAATAGAGTTCATTATGAGAGTTTATATGAATTTAACTTGGAATATCAGGGATCTATTGTGAACTTTTCCATGTCGTGAACATTGAATTATCTGTTTTTCGTATTTTTCTCGTTCGTTTTTCAAAAAAGTTTACAGTAATTTTGGCGAAATGTTTCAGTAGAAAAGAGCAAATGAAAAATTCTGAAATTGAATTCCGAGTTTTGGTCAATTTTATATTGATTACGGAATCGGAGCAAGATAATTTTCTATATTGAAACTTCGAAATATCAGTTTTCTTTCTCATCAATAGATGATGTGAACTTTGATTGAATGCAACAAGTTGCTATAATAACTTATTTATTGCGACTGAAATCATTTTGAATTTACTTTTACAACTTCAATGAATCAGTTTTCTTTCTCTGTTGATTCTATCTTCTTTTATTTTCGCCAAAGGCTAACAGTTCTGAGAAATTATCTTTTCAGTTGATTGTATTTTAGATTATGAAATACTATGAAATTTGATTCACTTTAGTTCTGTTTAAAATATTACTGCTATTTATTCAATGAACTAAGAATAGAGATTCACAGGAAAAGTATTTTTATTGAGTTTAATGCATTAAGACATTTCTCAACATTTCAGATTTAATTCTGATAGAAAGAAAAATGTGTTTAAAGAAATTCTCATTTTGAAGAATTTGAAATGTGTTTATCTCAATTTTCTTCGATTTCAAACTTTCGTTTAGTAATCTTAAAGAAAGACAAAAACTCCAATGAATGCAGCAACTCTGCAGTAAAACGACAAAAACTTTGTGTCGTATATAGGCTTATGAAATAAGACTCAATTCTGGAGAAACATGGACATTCTACGTAGTAGCTGACTGCGAACAGGCGGCAAAAAAAGGCAATTCACATACTTATGAGTATAATTTTTATTTGTATTAAATGATATTTTAATCAAAACTCTTTTTCTCTGCTCACACAAGCTTGAAAATCTCATTGGTTTGCCAAACATAAGAGGCCATTGCTATTTTATACCTGTAATTTTGCAATCCTTTGTTATGGCGGTGGAGAAAGGATTGCAAATCGCAAAAAAAAAGATGAAAACAAATTTGCGTTTTTGGCGCTTTAATCAAATGTAGCCAAACAATTTCCGTGTTGCTTCAATTTGAACAGCAAGTATCATTGACGACCCCTATGCTGATCAATGTAAACCGAAATTAAATCGCATTGATTTTCATTTGCAATAATTTTACACAGGCTTGACCAAGGTGGACTATTTGAATAAACCATTGATATCCATTGCTTTCATCAAAACAGTATATATTGTATCTCAATTTCGAAAGATAGTTGAGTTAATAACTTTGAATAAGCAGATTTTTCTGATGCATCGCCATTCAATTGAACAATAATCTGATTAAATATTAACTTGTATATAATATTCAGACTAAATTGCATCTTCACAAAAATACAATTTGTTGAAAGAAAATTAAACTCGAGGAAAAAGTTGTCAGAAAAGCACAAATGAAAGAAACAGAAGCAACAATAGCAGATTGAACTTCACAAGATTTCAATCTTTTTCACTGAAAAAAGTGTTGATTCAAGTTTGCCATGATCATTAACAATAACTTAACCTTTAGAAAAAGATGAAGACGAAAGACAAAATTGTCAATATTGGAATATTGCAAAAAAAAAATTTCGATACAATTTCCATCTGAACCCGTTTTCTGTACAGAGGAAAAAAACAATTTTCTCAGTCTGGGAATAACAATCTTGACTAAATCCAGAACATCTCATGATTATTACATGTTGGCCAAGGGCAACTTGAAACTCGATCATCACAAATACCAATAAAGTAAACTGTTCATGTAAATTAATATCGAATGATCAACTTGAATAGAAACAACAATGACTTGAAAATGGTAATGAAAAGTGCATAATGAGAAAAAGTTGATCGTTAAGTTTCGTTGTTCATCTTCACAGATAATGTCCAATGAACAATCAATTTTCAACTCGAGAGCTTCATTTCATGTAAAATTGTTAACACAAAATGTGTTGAGAAAAGTGACTAAAAAAGTGCAACAAATTGTCTGAAGCAAGCTGTTAAGAGTCAAACATTAACATGAGAATTGATGACAGTGAAAGGATTTAGTTTGACCTATCTGATCGTAACCCGAGTAAAGAATTATTTTTAGTCTTTTTGATCAACTTTTCATTCGAAGCAATTCATCAGAATGACAAGAAGAAAAGCTATTCAACTTATTTCACTTTAATTCACTTTTATCAACCAAATGAATAATTAATTGTACTAATCAGAGCAATTTGCATCTCAAGTGATAAATTGTTGAACTTGTTGAATGTTGCAAAAGCGTTAATTTAATCAAGTGAGACAAAAAGGCAGAGGAAAAGAAGAATAAAAAAGAAGTTCTTTTCTTGATATAATATTCCTTCTGAAGATTGTCTCTCAGGAATCGTCAGAATAATCTGGCAAAAAGAAAAGGTTTGTTACAAAAAAAGCAAAACTCTGAACAAAAGGTAAAGTTGAAAAGGAAAAAATTAGAGACAAAAAATTGAAACGAAAAAAGTTTCAATTTTTCATCGAATCTCGAGTTTGCAATTTATTCGAACTGACCTTTTACCTGTTGTACAGAAACAATCTAATTACGACTACAAATGGTTGCCTTGAAGGGACAATTTTTCGCTCCATTATTCTTATCTGTTTATCTAAATTCCAAATGAATGGAACAACAGGAAAAAAGAAA